ACAGCAAAATTAGCCTCAGAAATAGGTATTATTTTAAAACTTAAACAGAACAACAGTATTTTACAATAAGTGGTAATTTTGTTGCTGTTAACAGCTCATAAAAATGATCCATTTTTGGTGATTTGACTTAAATGGGAAAAATGAGAAGGAAAAATAATTAGAAATAATGCAGGCCCATAGAGTTTGCTTTGTTGGTTGGCTGTTTTTGAAAAAATATTTTTTCTGGTTCATGTGCATAGATAAGATCAATTTTTAGGAAAAATACTTTTTTTTCTATTCAGTACCGGAAATTGAACACAGAATATTCATACTGAGCTGCATCTCCTGCTCTTTTGTGTTATGTTTTACTTTGAGGTAGAGTTTCAAATTAGTTGCCTAATTTGAATTTAAACTTGCAATCTGCCTACCTCAGCATTCCATAGTGCAGATAATCTGGTTGTACTCAGTTTGGGAATAAAACTTCTTTATTTTTTTCTTTTCTTTTTTCTTTCTTTTTTTCAATACTAGGAATCAAACTCTGGACCTTGCACTTACCAGGCAAGCATGGTGCTGCTGAGCTATATTCCTGTCCTCTTAAAAATTTTTAACTAGTAAAGAGAATGATATAAACCTGAAATTTTAGGAGAACTGGATCAATCCAGTTTTTCACTGGAGGCATGGTGATTAAGTGGGAAACAAGGGAAATGAATGAATAATAAAGAGAAGTCCTCTCCTTTTCAGTCAGAAATAGCAACTAGGATAAGAATCTGAATTGTCCTTTCAAACATATGATGTTTTGCTGGGAGCTGGGAGTTAAGGAGCTTGTATGATGAGATCAGTTGTATTTTGAATGTACTAGTCCCTGTTCTGCCCTGAGCCAAGAGGATTAAATGGAGCTTCCATGGAGTACCTGTCTCTCACCTTCCCTCCTTTTGTCTAAATTCTCAACTAGTAAAAAGTAGTGGCTGTGTAGATGAGAGATGAGACTGATGTCATCTTCTAGGTTCTCTAGTCCTCATCTAGACTTGTGCGTTTCTGTGGTCAGGAGAAAGGTTTGAAACAGTTGAGGCTCTGCCCTGGAGATTTGGGTTCAGTAAATGTCTTAAGCCCTGACATGGATATTTCAAAATATTTCCTCAAGATTCTGACGTAGCTCAGAAGCATTTAATGGACAGGCATGTTTAATGGTGAATTCCTAATTCTCAGAAACTGAAGAAATCTCTAGATGAGTTGGATTAGATACCACTTCCTTCTAATCTCTCCTTTCCAACAAAATCAGGCCAAGTCCCTTTTGTCTTTCTCTACCTCTGTCCATGGGAAGTGAAAAGGAGGATCATCAGTGAAACCTCTTATTTTGCAGAATCCCACCACTTTCCCTCCCATCTGCAGTCAGTCACTGCCACTGTGAAGCTCTGTAGAAATTCTCTGATGGTTGAGATTGAATCTTGAAGAATGTCACATCTCTTTATCATCATTAGTGCCTCTCTTTATTATCATTAATGGCCCAGTGTTGACAAATGGTGATTTGCAGGAGTTTGAACAATAGCCATCTTGAGCCTGTATTTAGTTGAAGGCATGTGATAGACTATTTCAATGTATTAAGTGACCCCCCTGGTGAAAATCCATGAAATTGTAAGAACATAGGTGGGAATGTTTTTTACATTTTTATTGCTTATTTTTATTTTGTGTGTGTGTGTGTGTGTGTGTGTGTGTGTGTGTGTGTGTGTTACTAATGATTGATCCTAGGACTTTTCCATTGAGCTGCATCCCCAGCATTCATCACTCATCACTTTTAAAAATTTGAGACAGTGTCTCACTAAGTTGCAGAGACAGAAATCAAATCTGAACTTGGATCCCTCTTCTTAGCCTCACAGAATGATAAGATTACAGATGTTCCTGTCCCCTGTCCCGCTGGGAATAGTTTTGATAATTTCCTTTCGGCACTCCTTTTTACCTGCTTAACAGTCAGGGAGAACTGCATACACATGGAGGAAAAGTATGCGTGCTGGAAAAATTATTGAAATAGGTATAATCTTTTTTATTTCATAGCAGGACCTCTCTTTTTGGTAAAACATGATGTTAAGGGAAGAATTTTACATTGTACACAACCATTTGGAAGCACATGCACAGCAAAGATATAAGCAGAACACTATGGACTAAATGTGCCTCTTAGCTCTATGCAATTTGCTTCCATCAACTGAATTCACAATGAAATTTCAGAAAACGTCTCCATAATTTGAAGTTGGAGATGCTCACAAAGAAGAGGCTGTGCTGTCTTCAGAGCCCCTGTGACTGTGAGGGTGTGCCCCCTGTACAGAAAGCTCCCATGGCTTATCCAGTTTGCTATTGGCTCAATTCTGTACTTCTTCCTGCCCACTACTGTCCTTCTGTGAGAGTTTCCAGTTCTTAAATGATGGTATATTTTAATGTAGTCAGGAATTTCAGAATATCTTATATTCATTTATAAGGATGTAATCTAGATTTTAGAATGAATATTTTAAAATGGAATGAAGTTTAGAGATTCCTTAAAAAAGGTTTCCCATATACTATAAGTAACCATGTTCCTATTAGAATGCCTGAAGGTATTATTAATTATAATCACAACTGGATAGTTTGTGCATGTTACCAAGAATTTTGTATCTTCTTTTTCAGCCTTATCCCTTAAAAATATAAGCGACTTAGTGAGTTTCATTATGATACAGTTTTCATATTGAGAAAATTCATATTGAGAAAATTCTGAGAAATTTTTCATATTATGCAGTGTTAGAATTTGTTCATTATGAGAAAATCCATCTTGAGCAGTATTAGAATTTATTTATTATGGAAAAATGCAAATTAAGCAGTATTAGAATCTTTATTGATGAACTATATTTTACCTCTGATTTCTATAACATTAGTAATTAAAATGGAAACAGAATATAACTTATTAAAAACAATAGCTATGCTGCGTGGGGATCTTAGCATTATCAGCATAAATGACAATTGAAATTTTGTACTGATCTTTTCCACTTTCATCTAGTAATAGGACAGAACCCCATGGATTGTGTAGTAATAAGGAATCCATGTTCACTTGGATCATGTCCTCAGGGACTCCTTGAAAGCTGGAATGGTTAAGAATTGTATTTGGATCCTTACACTAGGGGGAGAATCCAACAAGTTTCTTGCCTAACTCAGAAAAAATTTCCATAGTACTAGAAAGCTCTCAGCTCTGTATCCCTGAGACTGTTAATTCCTCATGTTGATATTTGTCAGAAGAAAAGTAATGTTAAATAGGAGTAAAGCAAAGGTAAAGAGATTTTAATACTGAGGAAATAATGCAGTTTTATAATTTCTCATACATGATTATCAAATCTGTTGAGACATAGAAGTCATGGAAAATTATTCTTTGGAAGATAGGTTGAGAATTCCTGCCCTAGGGATGATGATTTAACTCATTAATTTAATCCAAATCCTTCAATAATTTTTGACTGTGCATTATGGTTGGAGCTACTGAGAAAAAAGATACAGCCCCTGCCCTGAAGGTGCATTTGATTGAAGCGGGAGGTGTTACATAACTCTGAGTACCATGATAAAAGCTGTGATGGAAAGACCCTTGGGACCAGTGACTGGAGCGAGTTGTGACCCTGGGGTTTCTGTAGCCACTGTGGGCAGAGAGCATGCACTGCAGAGGGTATGGCAGGGCAGCACGTGTGGAAGCACTGGGAGTGAGAAGGAAGAGACTGCTGTGTGTTGTTATCTATATCAGGTTAACAGTCAGGGTCCTTCACAAGTTGTTCAGTTCAGCTGAGAAGCAGGCAGTTGTGTGGGTTTTAAATTGTTTCTGCTTCTCCACAGGAAGGCCTCACACCACTTATGCTTGCTCTAAGGGAAAACAGAATGGAAGCGGCAGCATTGTTAAAAAAGACAGGAACAAAGAATGTGGTGAATGAGCCGGAAAGGTATGGTTCTTTTTTTAAACAAGAGTTCAGCAGTGTTGTGGAGTGGTAATAAGTCAAATAAGTCAGTAGCTGAAAGACTACCTTAGTGATTGGTGTATAATGAAAAAGATCAACACAAACCATCAGATAGAAAAATTATTTGGATTGGGCAACATAAGGAATACTGTGCAGTACAAGTCATGCTCTATTATTGAGTAATTTTGACTGATGTCTGCTTTTTAATGAGAAGAATAACTTTTGTAGTAAAACAATAAGGAAAAACACTGTGTATTGCTATGTTCATGGAACTTCCTCAGAGTACAAAACATAAGCCTAAATGCTTCATATAAAAAGGAAAAAGTGTAAATGTTTCTTTTCAGTGATTGAAAATGAGCTAGTAACATAAATGAAATAAATTGGCATATAAAATATTTGGAAAAGCAAAGTATGCAATTTGGAGAAGTATGCTCATATAAGAGAAACCAGAAAATATTTGAACTTGTGTTTCAGACTTATTTCAAAGAACTTTATATCCTCAAGTTGCATTCATTTATCTATGAGTTCCTCAAGGTTAGCTGTCTTTTTCACAGTGCAGTGTTCCATTGTGTATGGATACTATTTTCCTTGTACATTCTTCTGCTGATGTATGTATACACTATTTTACAGATGTAGCTGTTCAAATTGTGCTGCTGTAAACATAGGTACCTATGTATTCGTGTAGCATGATTTTAATTATTTTGGAAGATTTCTACAAGGGTCATAGCTCAGGTGGATTTGTATTTTTAGTTTTTTAGGAATCACCACTCCGATTACCATAGTGTTCATAACGGTTTACATTACCTTTATCAGTGTAGATCTCCACATTTTTCATTACCATTTATAATTAGGGTTTTTTTGGTAACCATTCTTTCTAAGATAAAATGCTATCTGGGTTTAGTATTAATTTGTATTTATCTGATTTTCAGAAGCAATGATGAGTTCCATGCTTTTATTGGCCATTTGTACTTATAAGAAGTATCATTTCATTTCAGTTGCCAGTTCATTGAGTGAGTTTTCTTGGGTAGGTCTCTACTCTTGATGCTTGTCCTCTGCCTGTGGAGTGGCTGAGCATGTTTGGTTTGCATTTTAAAGGTTGTCTCTTCATTGTTTTCTTAAAATTTATTTTATATTACTTTAAAGAGATTAAGACAAAAGAGTACAGTACAAAGAACATCAGAACAGAACAATGTAAGCAACACAGCACATCAGCAGCAGACAACTGGATATTAGCAGTAGCGACCATAATGTCTCTTACTTTGAAATAGTTAATCATACCTTCACATATAATAATATCAAACACAACAAAATAGTCTAAAACTATTGACGAGAAGGAAAGTATTATAGGGCATTCAGAACCAAATAACAGAAAATGAACAGTGGCTACTATATTATCTCATTTTCCATAAAAATTTGTTTATACTATCACACATATCAAAATGCAATAGAACATAACGTGATAGAACCAATGGAAACTGAAGAACAAAAGCATCGTAGGGTTTCAAAACAAGATATTACATCAGCAATGGCTACCATAATGTCTTGTTTTCTTCAAAATAACTGTTCATCCCATCATACATAATAAAATCTAACAAAATAGAATAAAACCACACCAACTAATGAATGAAAACATTATAAGGCTTCAAAGCCATATAATGGGGAATCATGACTACTATAAAATCTTATATACACTTACCATTTCTTACTCTAGGGAGACTATACAGGATTTATAGATGTGAGTTTGATTTATTTCACTTATGAGTATGGTCTCAAGTTGCATCCATCTATTTATAAATATCTCAATGTGATCATTCTTTATAGCTGAGTACTATTCCATTGTATAAAAATACCACATCTTTTTTATCCATTCCTTAGTTGACAGACACTTAGGTTATTTCCAAGATCTGGCTATTACAAACTGTGCTGCTATACACATGGGTACACACATATCACTGTTTTATGATGTTTTAGTTCTGGGAATATGCTTAGAAGTGGTACAGCTGGGTCAAATGGGAGTTACAATTCCAGCCTTTTGAGAAATCTCCAGGCTGACCTCCTCAGTGGTTGCCCCAATCTATACTCCCACCAACAGTGCAGATGAGTGCCTTTTTCCCCACAGCCTCTCCAGCATTTGTTGTTGGTAGTTTTCTTGATCGTGACCATCCTTTGTTGTTGTGGAGTGTATACTTTACTGTCGTCCATAGAATTTGTGTGTATTTACTACAATATCACCAGTGCTTACAAAAAGGTGTAGCACACAGTGAGTAGCTAGTCAGTATTTACTCAGTGTGAGTAGAGTTTACTCCTTGTGTATTATTTTAAACAGTAGGCTAATTTGTCACTTAAAAAAGTTTGACTTAGGAAGCTGAGGCAGAAGGATTGCAAAAGCGAATCCTGCTTAAGAAGCTGAGCAGGTCCTTGCCTCAAAATAGAAAGGGACTGGGGGTAGCGCTCAGTGTTAGGACACTCTTGATTCAACCTCCTGTACTAGAAAAAAGGGTTCAGGAAGAAAATTCATTCTGAAAGTTTTAGTTTTTACTCTACATTAATATTTTTTTCATTTAGGAAGAAAATTTGAATATTGTGATTCTTCATTCTTTTAGGGTAGTTTCACTTACAGTACAGTGGATTAAAAGAATTGCAGGCTTTGTTTGTAGTTTATTAAGAAAAATAAAACACAAAGATAGTAAATTTAATAGGCTTCAAAAAATATCATGGCCAAAGGACTAAAACTTTCTAAACTGAAATTAAAAGACAAAATTGGAATGTACTGTGTTGCTTCCTCTGGAAAGAGAGAGCTATGCTGGTTGGGCATGGTGTTGTTATAACACAGGTGCCTGAGTGCTACCTCAGTTCTTGATCTTGATTTTTTTCTGTGATTCTGGTTGCAAACTGAGTTGAGTCAGAACCAAATAAAAGTGGTTGAGCTGGGCATGGTGGCACACACCTGCAATCCAGCAAGTTTGACTTGGGATGCTGAGACACGAGGGTTGCTGTGAGTTTGAGACTTGTCTTGGCTACATAAATGAGTTCTAGGCCAGCCTGTACTACATGGTAAGATGCTGTCTCTAAAATTTTTTTGTTCTGTGGGTAGGTTCAGTGTTGATCTTAATTGGTTTAGATTTGATTTAGTTCTTGTCCAGTTTGTTTTGCCATCAGGATTGTGGAGACAATTGAGTTTGTGAACCCAGGTACCATTGTATATGGTTTTGCAAAGAGTAGAATTTAAAAACTGGCCAAAGTTCAGAAGGAAAGTGATTTTCCATCTGTAGCTATATTAGTGTGCCTTGCAGGAAGCAAAATGTTAGCATTAAGTGGTTGTTTGGTTGGATGCTTGGTTGTTTGGTGGGTGAAGCCAGTGACAGTTGACTGAATCAACACGGGGTTGCCACAGCTCCAGTCAGTCCTTTTGTAGGCTTGGACTAATTTCAACCCAATGCTTCGTTTCAAAATTATTTTCATCTACTGCTTAAAATGAAGACAATTTCATACTCTAGAGTTGTAACCTTGTTTTTGAATTGAGTTGCTTAAATGACTTTTTATTTTTAAAGCAGTGGACCCAACGTGCCTTTGAGGAAAGTAAAGAATAAACATAAACAGCAGCACTCCACGGAATCTGTGACTTCCTTAGTGTCTAACAAGGCCCGTTTCCTGTTTGCTAGTCTCCAACAAGTGATGTGTATTTAAAGATTACAAGACACTGTCAAAGATGGAGGAAGTTAAAACCTCTGTAAATGTTTTATTTTCCTTTAATGGAATGTTAGCAGGAATTGCTTTTCTAGAAATAAAACAGAACAGTGTAGTCTACAGGGAAAGCAAGAGGATACCCAGCCTCATCATTGCTGCAGAAAGATTGGCTAAGAGAAGCACAAATGAATTTGACAAAGAGCAGTTACAACACTGGTCACACAGGAAGCTGACTACTGGGGACGATCGGACAACACTAGACACCTTTCACTGGGAAAGTTAGGGAAGCAGGTGTTCTGAGCAAGAATGCAGCATTTAAGAGTTGTTTTCTTAAGATTTTAGAGTGTATGCATACACCACTAGAAACCATCAGTAGAGAAAGATATGTTTATTCATTTTAATTTTTAAGAATATTTGTAAAACTCAGAAATTATGTGATTATAACTGACAATGGATGCTGATATGGATTAACACAATCACAGTGGAGCCACACTTGCATGCCTTTCAGTGCTGCCCAGCAGGATAGTCATGCCTGTGCCATCAGTGTTTGAAGCTGTGGGAAATGTCAATGTGGTCTTAACATCACTTAACACTAAATGCTTAAAGGTAGTTATTTCATAACATAAGGCATACTCCCACGATGTCACAGTTCAGAGTTCTCAGCCTCACTCTTTCACTGATTTTTAGTTGGATCCTAACATTTTTTCACAGAGCCCCCCACAGTTTCATGGCAACCACAGGGATCCTCCACAAGGAGTTTCTGACAGGAGGTTTGCGAGTAGTGCATTCACACGTTACTCAGTTCTTCTGGCTTTGGAGTGCTTGCTGCCTTGTAACCCATCTCTGCATTGTAACAGGTTGATGCACTGCATGCGTCTGTCTCCATTGTTGTCAGTTGTGTTCTTAAAAACCCTAAGATCCCAATGATGCTGCCAAAATGCCCCACACTAAGGTTTCATCAATACAATATTTTATTAAATTACATAATTCCAGACGTCATAGCATATTTAGAGTTTAAACTATAAAAAAGGCATTGATAAGCATTTTTATGATCATATCTGAAATTTGCAGTCTTTCGCAATTGCAAGTGCTCTAGGAACAGTACTGTGCATTTAGGGGATCCACTGTACTGTGGAACATTCCTGGGTTTAAATTCTTACTGTCTGTACTTGCACCTGTGCAAGGTACTTGTTATATCTTCACCTACCTTAGTGATGTATAAAATGTTACCTCTCAGAATTGTGTTTGACACACACACACACACACACACACTTCAAGTAGGTGTGCCCTTTGGAAGAGATTAAAGTGAAAGATATAAAATATAACAGATAGGAAGGAAAAATATTTGAAAGCCAAACAAAACCCTGAAAGTGATACAGAACTTTAAAACAAGATAATAGGGAATTAACAGTGGCTTTCACCTTTAGAAGGAACTCTCCCATAGCTGCTATACTGCATATTATTTTCCACCAAGTAAATGCTCAGAGCACTGGGCTAGGCCTGCAAAGTGAAATGCTAAACACTACAGGCTTAAGTTGTTTTTCTTCCTGCCTAAGTAGCTATTATCCCAGCCTGTATGTCTGTGATCAGCTGGTTGCTTGCAGGGGTTGGGAGGGGCTCAGCTCTTATCTCCCAGCCCAACTGCTGGCTCACAGGAAGCCATTGGCTACATATTTCTACTTCCCTTGGCCTGTGACTGTCACTGACTCAGAGGAAGGGGTTGGCTTCTTGATCCACTTAAAAAATACATTGTAAATAAGCTGGTTTCACTTCAGACTTGTCTTAAAAGAAGAGGACAAGAAAAAAAGTCTCGAGGAAAAATGTTTGCAAGAAGTTGAAACAAAACAACAGCTTGAAATTTCTTATGCAACACTTGAAATGGAATTCAAAGCTTCAGAAGTGAATCAGGTAAATTAATCTTTGATGAAAATTTTATATTGCTGTTGTATCGGCATTGTAGTATTTCTTTGATTGCATATTTACTCATGCATTGCTTACATTGAGAATATGATCCAAAGCATGTGTGGTTTGTTATTTTCATTATTATCCAAATGTAAGCAGGTGGCCACCCACACTTACGTCTCCCACATCACTGAGCAATATCGTTTCAAGGACCATAGTTGAGCATGCAGTCCAGTGTTGAACAAAACATTCTTATACATCACACGTCCCTATTATGTGGGTTGAAAACAAAATGTTAAATCACCCTCAGAAAAGCCCACATATACAGCTAACTGTATTTATTATAAATGTTGACATCTAATAGCTCAGTTTGTTTACTGAATAAAGAAATGAAAGTTGAGTTTAATCATGAACACAAGTGTCAATTTGAGTATTCTTATGATTTAGCTAACTTTGAAGCTAGTGAAGTGTTTCTTAATGAAATTTTATTTTATACCATTTGTGCCTATATTTAATAAATGCTTTCACTCTTTAACAAATTTTAGATTTCATTTATGCAATTTAATATTCACAGCCTTGCATGTTGGCACTCACCTGTAATCGCAGTCCTGGGAGGCTGAGACAGGGTGAGTGCTATGAGTGCTAGGCCAGGTGGCATGAAATAGCAAGATTGTGGCTCAAAAAACTATTAAGGACTTAATTATACTATAACCGATAATTTCTTTGAAACATTGACATAATAGCATTGACAATACTTTAAGAAATACAAAATTGAAAGTACGCAATCTAATGGAGAATTTCATGTCAACTGATCATATTTTCCTTACCATGAAAAAGTGGAGTTTTGCCTTCATCACATAGCTATGTGCAGGATTCACAGACCAGGCATTTGACCAACCTAAAAGCTCTTGTGAAGTACCATACCACACCGTTCATTTGAACATCAGACTGCTTTCTGAAGAGGCCTAGCAGTTGCTACAAATGAATTGATTTGAGGACCTTTATTTAGCAGCAGGGCCCAATAGTCTCAGCTCAGTGGGTTAGCCTCCTCTCATGGGCATGTTATGTACATACTGCTTAACCCAGGAAGCACTGTTTGCGTGATCGTTGCCCACTGGGCACTGCTATGTGAGAATAAGCTGTGAGTTGTTACAAATGAAGTGCCACTGACTACTTGAGCTAACTGATGAGTCTCAAGGGACTGCAGGGATGTCTTTTGGGCTGCATACCCTGCATTTATTGCCACCTTCATCATGAGTGACCAGTTCAGCTTGCACAAAAAGCCTGTCCGATTGTCCACCACCTGCCAAAAACATCACATTTTGCTTTCTCTCCCCTGAGGTCAGCTGAGGAGGCCCCTTGGAGCAGGAAAGTATCTCCCTTTTTCCTTCCTCCCATCCACCTGTGCCTTTCTCACTACAGCCCAGTACAGAGCCCTGGGCCATTCTGAAAACTCCAGTATTTCCTCTTCACCTTCCAGACAGTTCTGGCACTGGTGAATGAAACCAGGGTACTCCACAGAGCTTCATCCATGGGCCATATTTATTTCTTTCTGAAGAGGGCCTCTCTAAGTTGCCCTGGGCTCAAATGAGCTAGCCTCATGCATCAGCCAACCCTATTGCTAGGACTATAGACATGTGCCACTATACCTGGATTAATTAATTTCTTTTTGGTTATTGGAGACAGGGTTTCGCTGCGTAACCCAGGCTGGCCTTGAATTTACTGTGCCTCTCCAAGGTGGTCTCGTGGTTACAGTAACGCTGTTGACTCAGCCTCCTGAGGGACAGAATCACAGCTGTGTGACATGAAGCCCAGCTTCTGATTTAAATTTTGAGAGATCTTCTGACTAAATTATCAAGACTGCACTTGACCTGAGGAAACTTTTGCCTCAGCTTTCCTACAATATCAAACTGTATCAAAACAGAAAACACAGTAATGCCTAATAGGAAAGATTTTATAGAGCTCCCACTGCTGATGACTGGTGGAGTTGGAACTCTGGCCCAGGCATGCTGGTGTCTGTCTAGATACTGTTTCTCCAACAGTTCCTGGAGACATCTAGATGTTACTGCAGTGTCATTTCTGTATTATTATCATTGGCATTGCTCTTAGTCATATAAGCATTATTCATATCATAGTTGATAAATAGTACTTGGAATCCATAATGTAGGATGTAATGCGTGGAATGTAAAAATACAACTAAAAGGACAGCACAAGTAAAGGGACTTCCTCTTTCTCTCCATTTTACCAAAACTTTCACTTTTATAGTTTCCGGCAAAAGAGTTGTCTCCCCCAGTTGCCCAGGCTGGTCTCAAGCATCAGCTTACCAAGCAGCCAGGAATGCAGGTCCATAGCACTGTGCTAACCTTCTAGTTTTGTCAGTTTGAGGACCTGCTAACAGGTCTAAAATCAGGAATATAATATGTTTCAGACCTAGAGCTGGGGTCGGTAACTTAAGTGGTGGGGAGAGGGTGTTATTTTGTAAGGTGTGGGCCATTGGATCCCTGCGTCAGCAGTTCAGATAACCGTGTAGACACAGCACAGAGGTAACTATAAACCATACGGAGGTGGAGCATTATAGCTGTGTCCACTACAGTTATGAAACAAACACCAGGGATGGGCAGGTTATTAATAAACATTTTTGTTAATTTTCAGTTGACAGAAGCACAGGTACAAGCTCTGTGCAACATGATGAAAAAATGGAAGAACCCTTAGACAGGTATGGCTTAACCAAATGACTTGAGCATCTATAAAAGAAATCAGCAGCATAAAATGAGACATATTGCAGTTATATAAGTACTAAATCTTCATTAGGCCAGGGGAAAATTCTAGCTTTGATAAATTTACCTGAAAGGAGTAATTTAGGGGAGCAGAAATAGTACAGTGAGGAGAGAGCATGTGCTTTCCACGTGGAGCCCTGTGTTCACTCCCAATAATGCAAAAGAAAAAGTGTCAACAAGCACAATGAGAAAAATCTTACTTACCAAATCATCTACTTTTTCTAACTTTTAAAATTGTGATTAGTCTTTCAAAGGTTATGTGACTTTTTAAACAGATCTGTGCAAATAATTATTTTGAAATCAATATTTTAGGACTGAATTGGAGTTTTTACGCATAAAAGAAAATGTGAAAAGTCCCGAAATGGAGATTTTGAGACAGAAAAAGAAAATGAAGAAACCAGCAGGAAAATTTGAACATGCTCGGAAGCACTTGTCAAATGACAGTTTGGTGAGTCCATTTGTTTTTAATTTCTATTGTACTTGAAAGGAGTTCTTATTTCTCTGCTAGTACGTAGGTATATTTTAGGCACTATGAAAAGTTTCACTGATAAAAACACTTGTTGTAATCATATTGATACCTCCTTACTAGCACTAGTGAAGTCCTCTTAACTTTATGGAAGATAAATGGTTTCATGCAATTCATGACTTTGGCAGTGATATTTTAATACAAAAGATTTTTATAGCCTAAAATCCCTATTTTACACATACCACATTTGTTTATCCATTATCCATTGAAGGACTTGAGAGTTATTCCCACACTTCTTTGGGAATAATGCTGATCTGGACATTGATATATTACTGTGTATCATGAGTCTCAGCTAATATGATACAATAACATTTAAAATTCCGGGAAATTGAATTGCTGAATCTAAGACTTTGAATATCTGTTGCAATGAAAGCTTTTCCATGATATTTTGTAATTTATATGGTCACCAAGAATGGATAGTAGGGCACTACACAAGCATTTTCCCCAGAGACACTGTATTTCTCTTTGACTGTAAGCAAGGAAAAAGATGCCAGTAACAAAGTAGAAATGGATATTTGTCTTACTGAGGAACTAGTGGTCCTAGCATTGCAGTTTCATGATTTTTCCCCATTGATTAGTGTTTATCAGCCATTTAAACTTGTCCAGTCTAAGAGTAACGCATAAGACTGGGTGACAGTTTGTTGATGTGTAATGAAAACCATGTACCTCTTGACCAGGCAGAGCAGATTCTCCTGTGGCCCGTGTTCTCCTGTGTGGGAATTAGGACCACAAGGACACATTGTGTGCATGGAAGTGGAGATGTGAGGTGGCTCCTTCCACTGACTGATTTCTTAAAGTCACAGCAATTTGATCCATCGAGGTCCATTACACAGATGCTTGTTGCTATGTCTCCTGCCTACCTGTCCCCCAAAGTCTCATGGAGCTATAGATGGGTGTTTTTCATAGGTGACTAGATCTGTAGAATATGATGTTGGGATTCAGGATATGTGATTACCAAGTTGGTCCACCGGTTGGTTTGGCATAGTTCTGGGATCAAGGATGTGATGTTAAGATTAAGGGTATGAGTGCTACCTGCCCTAAAGGTGAGTACCTGGATAAGATGTAGGGACAGAAAAAAGCTTGATCCTGCTGGTGCTGCTGCTGCTCCTGCTTGTCTTCTGGTCCGTGATGCCCCTCTGCAATGCCTCCCTGTTCTGGAGCCAGCCTAATATGAACTGAAACCTCTATAAACTGTGAGTTCTGAGCCTTTCCTCTCAACTTGTGAGTCTGGGTATTTTGTCTCAACAACAAGAAAAGACTTGTTATAAGGGAGCTACAGAATTCTGCCTAGTGTTTTCTATGATGAAATGTGGAGAAACAATTTTTTCAAGAATTCAAATAAATTAGTCCTGTTGTTGTACTATACTTTTCATACACATAACATGCTGACATGTTGATAAGGTGTCATTTGTGAATTAAAATTCCAGGGGCCATCATCTTACTTTAAGTACAATATACAAAGGTATTGAGATGTTGAAAAATTGGTAGTGGTACCATGTACAACTGGAAAATATTCAAAAAACACAATGTGGTCCATTGGAAAGCAACATTAAAAAAGAAAAACAAGGTGAATTATGACGGGTGGCATTCTAACAGTGAGGCCTCTGGCCCTAGAGTAGAAGATCGCAAAATTCAGATTGAAACCCATGTGAGTCACTATGCCATGTGTAGGACTCAGTGCAGAAGGAATCCATACCAAAAAATGGCTGATGAGGTTTTGTCCTGGGAGAAGTAAACTAAAAGGAAGAAGGGAAAGTGTAAATGACCCCTGTGCCGAGACATTTTGTGTACCCCAGCCTGGCCTTGAATTTACTGTGCCTCTCCAAGGTGGTCTCATGGTTACAGTAACCCTGTTGACTCAGCCTCCTGAGTGACAGAATCACAGCTGTGTGACACGAAGCCCAGCTTCTGATTTAAATTTTGAGAGACCTTCTGACTAAATTATCAAGACTGCACTTGACCTGAGGAAACTTTTGCCTCAGCTTTCCTACAATATCAAACTTTATCAAAACAGAAAACACAATAGTACCTAATAGGAAAGATTTTATAGAGCTCCCACTGCTGGTGACTGGTGGAGTTGGAACTCTGGCCCAGGCATGCTGGTGTCTGTCTAGATTCTGTTTCACCAACAGTTCCTGGAGACATCTAGATGTTACTGCAGTGTCATTTCTGTATTATTATCATTGGCATTGCTCTTAATCATATAAGCATTATTCATATCATAGTTGATAAATAGTACTTGGAATCCATGAAGTAGGATGTAATGCGTGGATTGTTGACCGGCGCAGCTCCAATGAAACAGGAGACAGGAGACGCTCTTGTGGACGACAGTTAACTGCTAGTTTATTTACGCGGGCTCTGGTTTATATATTTGGCCGTGACCAATCACAGGCTGCCACAAGGAAGCAGGGCGGGTATGGGATGCAGGCTCTGGCTATTATATCCAGCTGTGGCCAATCAGGAGTTGCCACAGAGTACGGAGTGAGCACGAAGTGCGCACGGGTTGGCTAATTTAAAGAGGGACGTAGCGCATTGCGGAAGCTGGCGTGGTCCTTAGTCCCGGCTGGGGTATGGTATGTTGAGCGCCTGCGCCCAGCATCTCCCCCTTTCTTTATAACTGACGCAGGGTCTCCAGAGGTCGGTGCCCCTCGTGAGGCGTCATGCTGCGCAGTCATGACAGTGCCTCACTACTCGTTGGTGCTCTTTTGGAGGGGGCGGGAGTATTGTTTTATGAGCCCAACCCGCATGCTCACCAACATGGGGACCGGGGTGTCTCCTGGCTAAGGACGACACCCCCTGCGATGCTTTGCTCTACACCTGCGTCACAGCATGGCGAGCCATGCTGCCGGGCTTTGACCAGATTCCATGATCAGCAATGCTTGTTTGATACTTTGTCCCTATTCCTTTGTCTGCGAATCCGACAGAGCAGAAGTAAACTGCCGAATGCGGCAAGTGTAGTCATGGTAGCCAGAGCCCCTGTTCCTGCCCATTCCTTTATGAAAGCCAATTGGAGAGTTGGCCCGAGCTGGATCACAGGAAACTCGTCTGAGTCCACCATAACTGGAACCGGTGTGAACTGGAGTACCTGCATAACGACAGCTGAAAGTGCACTGTTATCCCAACATTGTAACACATAACAGGTTGTGGTGGAGCAATTTAGAAAAGTCATATTTGTGGTGTTTATGGTGGCCAGGGAGAATCCCCATAATATCTCCTGGGAGTATCCATCCAGGGGGTCACAAGCGGTAAACTGGAGGACCCTTGCCCAGATAGGGGTGCAGAAGGAGACCTGGGGCCTCCGAGCTGGCGCTCCCTTAATCGCGGCGGGCTCGATTTGGGCCCCCTGCAAGATGCGGGTCGGGAGGTAGAGCCGCAGGTCTTCTACGGGGCGGCCCTGGGATCTCGTACTGGCTTTCATTGACCCATTTACTCTGAGAAATCCTGCGTTGCAGCTCATTTATGGCCTCAGAGTAGGGCCCTCTCGACTGCGTGTGTGTGACTTCCCCTCTTTCGGTGGTGTCTGCATCCGCCATTTTGTATACTTCTCCTTCCTCCCCCTCATTATCTGACGAGTCTGGGTTGGGTGGGGTCACCTCGCCTGCGGCACTGGACTCGCGAGATTGCTCGCGGGAGGATTCTGCCTGATGGTAATCAAGCGCCATGGCGCCAGCCCTTATATGGTCACGACAAGAGGTGTCTGTAAGGCAGCTTCTCACCACTGCCCAAAGGGGTCTGACTCCTGGCTCCAGGAGACCATTTTCTGCTGCAAAGTCAAGATCTCTCCCTAATTTATCCCAGCTGGGGATGGTAATGGACCCCGTGGGACCAAACCAAGGTGCTACCTTATCGACCTGATCGAGGAAGTTTTGAATTTGTTCTCTTTTCATTTGTAATCCCTTTTCTCTCAGTAAGTCGCTTAAGGCGACTGACAGTGGCTGAGTAGCCGTGTTACCCATGTTAACCGGAATTTCAAGAGTTTCTTTTTCTTTTTATTTATTTTTTTCTTTTTCCTTTATTTTTTTATTTATTTATTTTTTTAAACAGGGACAGCTTAGTCCCCGCGCCCGTTTACGGCGCCCCCAAAACCGGCCTCTTTACGGCCCCCGGAACTCTCTTTATGAGTTCCTGACCCTTGCAACGCGTCCGCCCAAGGTTGCCCGATAGCCCCCGCCATCCGGCCCGCAGCCCCCGCTGCCTGTTGCGTAGCCCCCGCCACCAACGTTGAGCAGTTTAACCTGTCAGCCCCCGCCCGCCAAGTAGCCCCCGCTATTGGCGCTTGACGGTTTTACCTGTTAACGTCTCTGTTCCGTCGGAGAGAGAGGTTCGTTCCCCGTACTGTCGGAGAGAGGGTCTCAGCGTTCTGGGGGAGAGGGTCTCAGCACTCCCCGTACGGGCCACCAGTTGACCGGAGCAGCTCCAATGAAACAGGAGACAGGAGACGCTCTTGTGGACGACAGTTATATAAACGCGGGCTCTGGTTTATATATTTGGCTGTGACCAATCACAGGCTGCCACAAGGAAGCAGGGCGGGAATGGGATGCAGGCTCTGGCTATTATATCCAGCTGTGGCCAATCAGGAGTTGCCACAGAGTACGGAGTGAGCACGAAGTGCGCACGGGTTGGCTAATTTAAAGAGGGACGTAGCGCATTGCGGAAGCTGGCGTGGTCCTTAGTCCCGGCTGGGGTATGGTATGTTGAGCGCCTGCGCCCAACAGATTGTAAAAATACAACTAAAAGGACAGCACAAGTAAAGGGATTTCCTCTTTCTCTCTATTTTACCAAAACTTTCACTTTTATTGTTTCCTGCAAAAGAGTTGTCTCCCCCAGTTGCTCAGGCTGGTCTCAAGCATCAGCGTACCAAGCATCCAGAAATGCAGGTCCATAGCACTGTGCTAACCGTCTAGTTTTGTCAGTTTGAGGACCTGCTAACAGTCTAAAATCAGGAACATAATATATTTCAGACCTAGAACTGGGGTCGGTAACTTAAGTAGTGGGGAGAGAGTGTTATTTTGTAAGGTGTGGGCCATTGGATCCCTGCTTCAGCAGTTCAGCTAACGGTGTAGACACAGCACAGAGGTAACTATAAACCATACGGAGATGGAGCATTATAGCTGTGTCCACTACAGTTATGAAACAAACACCAGGGTTGGGCAGGTTATTAATCAACTTTTTGTTAATTTTCAGTTGACAGAAGCACAAGATCAAGGTACAAGCTCTGTGCAACATGATGAAAAAATGGAAGAACCCTTAGACATGTATGGCTTAACCAAATGACTTGAGCATCTCTAAAGGAAATCAGCAGCATAATATGAGACATATTGCAGTTATATAACTACTAAATCTTCATTAGGCCAGGGGAAAATTCTAGCTTTGATAAATGTACCTGAAAGGAGTAATTTAGGGGAGCAGAAATAGTACAGTGAGGAGAGAGCATGTGCTTTCCACGTGGAGCCCTGTGTTCACTCCCAATAATGCAAAAGAAAAATCGTCAACAAGCACAATGAGAAAAATCTTACTTGCCAAGTCATCTACTTTTTCTAACTTTTAAAATTGTGAGTAGTCTTTCAAAGATTATGTGACTTTTTAAACAGATCTGTGCAAACACTCACATTGGAGAATTTGAGCCTGAAAAAGAAAATTCAAAAAGCTAAGGAGTAATTTAGGGGAGCAGAAATAGTACAGTGAGGAGAGAGCATGTGCTTTCCACGTGGAGCCCTGTGTTCACTCCCAATAATGCAAAAGAAAAATCGTCAACAAGCACAATGAGAAAAATCTTACTTGCCAAGTCATCTAGTTTTTCTAACTTTTAAAATTGTGAGTAGTCTTTCAAAGATTATGTGACTTTTTAAATAGATCTGTGCAAACACTCACATTGGAGAATTTGAGCCTGAAAAAGAAAATTCAAAAGCTAAGGGGTAAACTTGAACGAGCTCAGAAACACTTGTTGACCATGAGATAGGTAAGGGCATTTCTTTTTAATTTCTATTGTTCTAGAAAGCAGTTCCTCCTCTGCCAGTATGTAGGAATATTTTAGGCACTATAAAAATCTTACTGATAAAAGCACTTGTTGTAATCGTATTGATACCTCCTTACTAGCAGTAGTGAAGTCCTCTTACCTTTATGGAAGATAAATGGTTTCATGCAATTCATGACTTTGGCAGTGATATTTTAATACAAAAGATTTTTATAGCCTAAAATCCCTATTTTACACATACCACATTTGTTTTTCCATTATCCATTGAAGGATTTGAGAGTTATTCCCACACTTCTTTGGGAATAATGCTGATCTGGACATTGATATATTACTGTGTGTCATGAGTCTCAGCTAATATGATGCAATAACTTTTAAAATTCCAGGAAATTGAATTGCTGAATCTAAGACTTTGAATATCTGTTGCAATGAAAGCTTTTCCATGATATTTTGTAATTTATATGGTCACCAAGAATGGATAGAAGGGCACTACACAAGCATTTTCCCCAGAGACACTGTATTTCTCTTTGACTGTAAGCAAGGAAAAAGATGCCAGTAACAAAGTAGAAATGGATATTTGTCTTACTGAGGAACTAGTGGTCCTAGCATTGCAGTTTCATGATTTTTCCCCATTGATTAGTGTTTATCAGCCATTTAAACTTGTCCAGTCTAAGAGTAACGCATAAGACTGGGTGACAGTTTGTTGATGTGTAATGAAAACCATGTACCTCTTGACCAGGCAGAGCAGATTCTCCTGTGGCCCGTGTTCTCCTGTGTGGGAATTAGGACCACAAGGACACATTGTGTGCATGGAAGTGGAGATGTGAGGTGGCTCCTTCCACTGACTGATTTCTTAAAGTCACAGCAATTTGGTCCATCGAGGTTCATTACACAGATGCTTGTTGCTATGTCTCCTGCCTACCTGTCCCCCAAACTCTCATGGAGCTATAGATGGGTGTTTTTCATAGGTGACTAGATCTGTAGAATATGATGTTGGGATTCAGGGTATGTGATTACCAAGTTGGTCCACCGGTTGGTTTGGCATAGTTCTGGGATCAAGGATGTGATGTTAAGATTAAGGGTATGAGTGCTACCTGCCCTAAAGGTGAGTACCTGGATAAGATGTAGGGACAGAAAAAAACTTGATCCTGCTGGTGCTGCTGCTGCTGCTGCTGTTGCTGCTGCTGCTCCTGCTTGTCTTCTGGTCTGTGATGCCCCTCTGCAATGCCTCCCTGTTCTGGAGCCAGCCTACTATGAACTGAAACCTCTATAAACTGTGAGTTCTGAGCCTTTCCTCTCTTAACTTGTGAGTCTGGGTATTTTGTCTCAACAACAAGAAAAGACTTGTTATAAGGGAGCTACAGAATTTTGGCTAGTGTTTTCTCTGAAGAAATATGGAGAAATAATTTTTTCTAGAATTCAAATAAATTAGTCCTGTTGTTGTACTATACTTTTCATACACATAACATGCTGACATGTTGATAAGGTGTCATTTGTGAATTAAAATGACAGGGGCCATCATCTTACTTTAAGTGTCATATACAAAGGCATTGAGATGTTGAAAAATTGGTAGTGGTACCATATATAACTGGAAAATATTTAAGAAAGCAATATGAACCCATAGGAAAGCAACAGTATAAAAGAAATACAGGGTGACTTATGCTGGGTGGCATTCTAACAGTCAGGCCATCAGCCCCATGTTAGAAGATCACAAAATTCAGATTGAAACCCATGTGACTCACTATGCAATGTGTAGGACTCAGTGCAGAAGGAATCCATACTAAATAATGGCTGATGAAGTTTTGTCCTGGGAGAAGTAAACTAAAAGGAAGAAGGGAAAGTGTAAATGACCCCTGTCTAGAGGCTGCATCTGGAAATGGGGATTAGGTTATCAGAGTCAAAGGCTCGGATTTAGGACCTGAGGGAATCTGAACTGTAGTTGACATAAGCCTTAAGCAGCTGCCTTTAGGAGCACAGTGGAGCTCGGAGTGGTGAGAAGTGGAGAGAAGTCACTGTGAGCAGAAGCTCTGAGCAGTGGGCAGGATGAGAACTCCAGAAACAAGTGTCTTCGGTGACTTTCACATTACTTTATTGGAAATACAGGATGAAAATCAGATTTTAATGTCCTCCAGTGATGAAAAATTAGATTTGCACATGAGACTATGTATCAGAAATGTAAGAGTCCTTTGGAGGGCAAGAAACAAGATGATAGAAAAGCCATAAGAACCATGTAGAAGTGAGGCTTCTGCACATTACAAAAAAGAGAAACTGAAAATACAATTATTTAATAGCAGAAAAAATAATTCTGGGCTGGGCACATAGCTCAGTGGCACAGTGCCTGTCTAGCCAGCAAGGGATTCAGGTTTTGGTTCTTGAGTACAAAACAAAATTCCTGAGAGGATGCTTAGAGAGAATAAACATCTATCTCATTCCAAAGTCGAGTGAGGTTCAAAACTGGGATGAAATCGAGGTTTCCAGAATTTGTCTTGATAAAATATGTTTTAAATAACCCTGGAATATGTTGAGCTATTGAGGGAAAGACCTCTAGAATATCTTTAGAAAGTGAAATGGAAATACAATTCTTTTCATATATTTTTCATCAATGCTTATGTGTAAAACTTTCTTTTTTAACAAAGTTTGGCAGCACACACTTCATAAACCGTCATGATGAAAACAAAATGATGAAAGCACAAGTTAACTTGAGCTGTGTTCAGAGAAGCTGCTGTTTTCAAGTCTGTTCTTACTGGTGTCAGTTTTATACTTTGCGTTTGCACATTCATGAGCACATGTGAAGTAATATTGTTAAGGAATGAATCTTTAGAGTTTTAGAAATTAATTATAAATTCTTTTTCAAAGTCTGAAGATGAGAAAGAACAGTTCATGAAATTCCCTGAGGGTTTTCAAAATGTGATGTATGCTTTGGACCAAGAAAAGAAGAAAATTCATGAGCTGGAATGTGCTTTGGGTCAAGAAAAGAAAAATCATGAGCTGTAATGTGCTTCGGGTCAAGTCAAGAAGAAAATTCGTGAGCTGGAATGTGCTTCGGGTCAAGTCAAGAAGAAAATTCATGAGCTGTAATGTGCTTCGGGTCCAGTCAAGTCAAGAAGAAAATTCATGAGCTGGAATGTGCTTCGGGTCAACACAAGAAGAAAATTCATGAGCTGGAATGTGCTTCGGGTCAAGTCAAGAAGAAAATTCATGAGCTGGAATGTGCTTCGGGTCAAGTCAAGAAGAAAATTCATGAGCTGGAATGTGCTTCGCATCCAGACAAGAAGAAAATTCATGAGCTGGAATGTGCTTCGGGTCAAGAGAAGAAGAAATTTCAGGAGCTGGAATGTGCTTCGGGTCAAGACAAGAAGAAAATTCATGAGCTGGAATGTGCTTCGGGTCAAGTCAAGAAGAAAATTCATGAGCTGGAATGTGCTTCGGGTGAAGACAAGAAGAAAATTCATGAGCTGGAATGTGCTTTGGGTGAAGACAAGAAGAAAATTCATGAGCTGGAATGTGCTTCGGGTCAAGACAAGCAGAAAATTCATGAGCTGGAATGTGCTTCGGGTCAAGACAAGCAGAAAATTCATGAGCTGGAATGTGCTTCGGGTCAAGTCAAGAAGAAAATTCATGAGCTGGAATGTGCTTCGGGTGAAGACAAGAAGAAAATTCATGAGCTGGAATGTGCTTTGGGTCAAGTCAAGAAGAAAATTCATGAGCTGGAATGTGCTTCGGGTCCAGTCAAGAAGAAAATTCATGAGCTGGAATGTGCTTCGGGTCAAGACAAGCAGAAAATTCATGAGCTGGAATGTGCTTCGGGTCAAATCAAGAAGAAAATTCATGAGCTGGAATGTGCTTTGGGTCAAGTCAAGAAGAAAATTCATGAGCTGGAATGTGCTTCGGGTCAAGTCAAGAAGAAAATTCATGAGCTGGAATGTGCTTCGGGTCAAGTTAAGAAGAAAATTCATGAGCTGGAATGTGCTTCGGGTCAAGTCAAGAAGAAAATTCATGAGCTGGAATGTGCTTCGGGTCAAGTCAAGAAGAAAATTCATGAGCTGGAATGTGCTTCGGGTCAAGTCAAGGAGAAAATTCATGAGCTGGAATGTGCTTCGGGTCAAGACAAGAAGAAAATTCATGAGCTGGAATGTGCTTCGGGTCAAGTCAAGAAGAAAATTCGTGAGCTGGAATGTGCTTCGGGTCAAGTCAAGAAGAAAATTCGTGAGCTGGAATGTGCTTCGGGTCAAGTCAAGAAGAAAATTCGTGAGCTGGAATGTGCTTCGGGTCAAGTCAAGAAGAAAATTCGTGAGCTGGAATGTGTTTCGGGTCAAGTCAAGAAGAAAATTCGTGAGCTGGAATGTGCTTCGGGTCAAGTCAAGAAGAAAATTCGTAAGCTGGAATGTGCTTCGGGTCAAGTCAAGAAGAAAATTCGTGAGCTGGAATGTGCTTCGGGTCAAGTCAAGAAGAAAATTCGTGAGCTGGAATGTGCTTCGGGTCAAGTCAAGAAGAAAATTCGTGAGCTGGAATGTGCTTCGGGTCAAGTCAAGAAAATTCATGAGCTGGAATGTGCTTCGGGTCAAGTCAAGAAGAAAATTCATGAGCTGGAATGTGCTTCGGGTCAAGTCAAGAAGAAAATTCGTGAGCTGGAATGTGCTTCGGGTCAAGTCAAGAAGAAAATTCGTGAGCTGGAATGTGCTTCAGGTCAAGACAAGAAGAAAATTCGTGAGCTGGAATGTGCTTCGGGTCAAGTCAAGAAGAAAATTCGTTAGCTGGAATGTGCTTCGGGTCAAGTCAAGAAGAAAATTCATGAGCTGGAATGTGCTTCGGGTCCAGTCAAGAAGAAAATTCATGAGCTGTAATGTGCTTCGGGTCAAGACAAGAAGAAAATTCATGAGCTGGAATGTGCTTCGGGTCAAGTCAAGAAGAAAATTCATGAGCTGTAATGTGCTTCGGGTGAAGTCAAGTAGAAAATTCGTGAGCTGGAATGTGCTTCGGGTCATGACAAGAAGAAAATTCATGAGCTGGAATGTGCTTCGGGTCAAGTCAAGAAGAAAATTCGTTAGCTGGAATGTGCTTCGGGTCAAGTCAAGAAGAAAATTCATGAGCTGTAATGTGCTTCGGGTCCAGTCAAGAAGAAAATTCATGAGCTGTAATGTGCTTCGGGTCAAGACAAGAAGAAAATTCATGAGCTGGAATGTGCTTCGCGTCAAGACAAGAAGAAAATTCATGAGCTGGAATGTGCTTCGGGTCAAGTCAAGAAGAAAATTCATGAGCTGGAATGTGCTTCGGGTCAAGTCAAGAAGAAAATTCATGAGCTGGAATGTGCTTTGGGTCAAGTCAAGAAGAAAATTCATGAGCTGGAATGTGCTTCGGGTCAAGTCGAAGAAAATTCATGAGCTGGAATGTGCTTCGGGTCAAGTCAAGAAGAAAATTCATGAGCTGGAATGTGCTTCGGGTCAAGTCAAGAAGAAAATTCATGAGCTGGAATGTGCTTCGGGTCAAGTCAAGAAGAAAATTCATGAGCTGGAATGTGCTTCGGGTCAAGACAAGAAGAAAATTCGTGAGCTGGAATGTGCTTCGGGTCAAGTCAAGAAGAAAATTCGTTAGCTGGAATGTGCTTCGGGTCAAGTCAAGAAGAAAATTCATGAGCTGGAATGTGCTTCGGGTCCAGTCAAGAAGAAAATTCATGAGCTGTAATGTGCTTCGGGTCAAGACAAGAAGAAAATTCATGAGCTGTAATGTGCTTCGGGTCAAGTCAAGAAGAAAATTCATGAGCTGGAATGTGCTTCGGGTCAAGACAAGAAGAAAATTCATGAGCTGGAATGTGCTTCGGGTCAAGTCAAGAATAAAATTCATGAGCTGGAATGTGCTTCGGGTCAAGTCAAGAAGAAAATTCGTGAGCTGGAATGTGCTTCGGGTCATGACAAGAAGAAAATTCATGAGCTGGAATGTGCTTCGGGTCAAGTCAAGAAGAAAATTCGTTAGCTGGAATGTGCTTCGGGTCAAGTCAAGAAGAAAATTCATGAGCTGTAATGTGCTTCGGGTCCAGTCAAGAAGAAAATTCATGAGCTGTAATGTGCTTCGGGTCAAGACAAGAAGAAAATTCATGAGCTGGAATGTGCTTCGCGTCAAGACAAGAAGAAAATTCATGAGCTGGAATGTGCTTCGGGTCAAGTCAAGAAGAAAATTCATGAGCTGGAATGTGCTTCGGGTCAAGTCAAGAAGAAAATTCATGAGCTGGAATGTGCTTTGGGTCAAGTCAAGAAGAAAATTCATGAGCTGGAATGTGCTTCGGGTCAAGTCGAAGAAAATTCATGAGCTGGAATGTGCTTCGGGTCAAGTCAAGAAGAAAATTCATGAGCTGGAATGTGCTTCGGGTCAAGTCAAGAAGAAAATTCATGAGCTGGAATGTGCTTCGGGTCAAGTCAAGAAGAAAATTCATGAGCTGGAATGTGCTTCGGGTCAAGACAAGAAGAAAATTCGTGAGCTGGAATGTGCTTCGGGTCAAGTCAAGAAGAAAATTCGTTAGCTGGAATGTGCTTCGGGTCAAGTCAAGAAGAAAATTCATGAGCTGGAATGTGCTTCGGGTCCAGTCAAGAAGAAAATTCATGAGCTGTAATGTGCTTCGGGTCAAGACAAGAAGAAAATTCATGAGCTGTAATGTGCTTCGGGTCAAGTCAAGAAGAAAATTCATGAGCTGGAATGTGCTTCGGGTCAAATCAAGAAGAAAATTCATGAGCTGGAATGTGCTTTGGGTCAAGTCAAGAAGAAAATTCATGAGCTGGAATGTGCTTCGGGTCAAGTCAAGAAGAAAATTCATGAGCTGGAATGTGCTTCGGGTCAAGTCAAGAAGAAAATTCATGAGCTGGAATGTGCTTCGGGTCAAGTCAAGAAGAAAATTCATGAGCTGGAATGTGCTTCGGGTCAAGTCAAGAAGAAAATTCATGAGCTGGAATGTGCTTCGGGTCAAGTCAAGGAGAAAATTCATGAGCTGGAATGTGCTTCGGGTCAAGTCAAGGAGAAAATTCATGAGCTGGAATGTGCTTCGGGTCAAGACAAGAAGAAAATTCATGAGCTGGAATGTGCTTCGGGTCAAGACAAGAAGAAAATTCATGAGCTGGAATGTGCTTCGGGTCAAGTCAAGAAGAAAATTCATGAGCTGGAATGTGCTTCGGGTCAAGTCAAGAAGAAAATTCGTTAGCTGGAATGTGCTTCGGGTCAAGTCAAGAAGAAAATTCGTAAGCTGGAATGTGCTTCGGGTCAAGTCAAGAAGAAAATTCGTGAGCTGGAATGTGCTTCGGGTCAAGTCAAGAAGAAAATTCGTTAGCTGGAATGTGCTTCGGGTCAAGTCAAGAAGAAAATTCGTGAGCTGGAATGTGCTTCGGGTCAAGTCAAGAAAATTCGTGAGCTGGAATGTGCTTGGAGTCAAGAAGAAAATTCGTGAGCTGGAATGTGCTTCGGGTCAAGTCAAGAAGAAAATTCATGAGCTGGAATGTGCTTCGGGTGAAGACAAGAAGAAAATTCATGAGCTGGAATGTGCTTTGGGTCAAGTCAAGAAGAAAATTCATGAGCTGGAATGTGCTTCGGGTCAACACAAGAAGAAAATTCATGAGCTGGAATGTGCTTCGGGTCAAGTCAAGAAGAAAATTCATGAGCTGGAATGTGCTTCGGGTCAAGTCAAGAAGAAAATTCATGAGCTGGAATGTACTTCGCATCAAGACAAGAAGAAAATTCATGAGCTGCAATGTGCTTTGGTTCAAGTCAAGAAGAAAATTCATGAGCTGGAATGTGCTTCGGGTCAAGTCAAGAAGAAAATTCATGAGCTGGAATGTGCTTCCGGTCCAGTCAAGAAGAAAATTCATGAGCTGGAATGTGCTTCGGGTCAAGACAAGAAGAAAATTCATGAGCTGGAATGTGCTTCGGGTCAAGAGAAGAAGAAATTTCAGGAGCTGGAATGTGCTTCGGGTCAAGACAAGAAGAAAATTCATGAGCTGGAATGTGCTTCGGGTCAAGTCAAGAAGAAAATTCATGAGCTGGAATGTGCTTCGGGTCAAGTCAAGAAGAAAATTCATGAGCTGAAATGTGCTTCGGGTCAAGTCAAGAAGAAAATTCATGAGCTGGAATGTGCTTCGGGTCCAGTCAAGAAGAAAATTCATGAGCTGGAATGTGCTTCGGGTCAAGACAAGCAGAAAATTCATGAGCTGGAATGTGCTTCGGGTCAAGACAAGCAGAAAATTCATGAGCTGGAATGTGCTTCGGGTCAAGTCAAGAAGAAAATTCATGAGCTGGAATGTGCTTCGGGTCAAGTCAAGAAGAAAATTCATGAGCTGGAATGTGCTTCGGGTCAAGTCAAGAAGAAAATTCATGAGCTGGAATGTGCTTCGGGTCAAGTCAAGGAGAAAATTCATGAGCTGGAATGTGCTTCGGGTCAAGACAAGAAGAAAATTCGTGAGCTGGAATGTGCTTCGGGTCAAGTCAAGAAGAAAATTCGTGAGCTGGAATGTGCTTCGGGTCAAGTCAAGAAGAAAATTCGTGAGCTGGAATGTGCTTCGGGTCAAGTCAAGAAGAAAATTCGTGAGCTGGAATGTGCTTCGGGTCAAGTCAAGAAGAAAATTCGTGAGCTGGAATGTGTTTCGGGTCAAGTCAAGAAGAAAATTCGTGAGCTGGAATGTGCTTCGGGTCAAGTCAAGAAGAAAATTCGTAAGCTGGAATGTGCTTCGGGTCAAGTCAAGAAGAAAATTCGTGAGCTGGAATGTGCTTCGGGTCAAGTCAAGAAGAAAATTCGTGAGCTGGAATGTGCTTCGGGTCAAGTCAAGAAGAAAATTCGTGAGCTGGAATGTGCTTCGGGTCAAGTCAAGAAAATTCGTGAGCTGGAATGTGCTTCGAGTCAAGAAGAAAATTCGTGAGCTGGAATGTGCTTCGGGTCAAGTCAAGAAGAAAATTCATGAGCTGGAATGTGCTTCGCGTCAAGTCAAGAAGAAAATTCATGAGCTGGAATGTGCTTCGGGTCAAGTCAAGAAGAAAATTCATGAGCTGGAATCAGAGCTAGCAGGGTAAGATTTTCATATGTCAAACCTTACCAACCAGTCATGAATGGTTTCACTAACTTTACTAAACTAATTGTGAATTTATTATTTGCAGTTTAATCAATACACAAATTAGTATATTTTAAATTTTACCTTAGTGACCCACAGCATAATCTGTTTTGTGAATGCCATATGTTATTTACTCTAGTGGTTTCAAACACATGAGAGTGCTTGGAAATAATATGAAGTTCACTCTTTTTATCTACTTGAATTTTTATTTGAGGGTTTTTTTCTCTCTTACCTTCTTTTGGTAATATCCTTCCAGCTAGCATTAAAATATATTTTTGTGTTTAACAGCCTATGTCATTCTTTAATAACACTAACATTAATCTTCATTTGTCTCATATTTTCTGTGTACCTCTTTCTCTTTTAGCTATAAAATCTGTCAACAACTACATTTCTCTTCCATGAGTAATCCCATGTGTGCATGCAGTATATGTGTTACTAAGCTTCTGTCCACCTATCGTGTGTGTGCCTTCATTCAAGATTATATATTATACAAATATACATATGTGTGTGTTTGTGTGTCTGTGTGTGTGTGTAAATACTATACAATCACCCCCCAGTATTGGTCCCAGGACCTCTTTAGATATCAATCTCCTTGGATACTCATGTCTCTTTTACATAATTGCATAGCATTTGCATATACTCTACTGAATCCTCCTATGTTTTAAGTCATTGATAGATTATTAACACTTAATAGAAGGTAAATGTTATGTGAGTCCTTGCTGTGTCATTCAAGGAGTAATGACAAAAAAATTAGTATGTGTTGAGTACAGATGCAGTTCTTTTCCTGAGTATTTTCAGTCTACTGTTGACTGAATTCCTGAAAACAGAACCTGCAGGATAGAAGGGGGTGATTGTAAAGTCTCCTGCACACAAAAATATGTATGCCTTGCAGATGCAAATGATTCTACCAGAAAAAAGAATAAAATGGTTTAAAAATGAATAAAAAGTGTTTTCCAGTGTCTTGAAGCCCCCATTATGGCTGGTTACCATTGGTTAATGGAGAGCTTGAGGCTGTTATGATTCAAGCCAATATTTGCATCTCCTTAACTGTCTGTCTTTCCAGTTTTGTACCTCCTGCATTTTGTCAGCATGGTTGTACCAAAGACTGAAATTTGTTCCTAAAACACACTTTCAGACTACCTATTATTCCTCTGTTGATTTCCTTTCTCCTAAACTGCTTCTTTTCCTCTTCAACTCAGATTTCAAAGATGATGTTTCTTGTCTTTTTCTGTTTCCAATAATCTCAATATTTTCTTTTCTTCTCTTTGCTTTGCTTTCCTTTTGTTCTTTGTTTGAGACTGAACCTATATATTTGCACATGCTGGACACATACTCTACCACTGAGCTGCACCTCCAGCCCACCTTCAGAGTTTTGTGTGCTCTTTCTTTTCTTGTTCACCATGGTTAACAGATACCTAATTATGTTTTTAAAATCTTTAACATTCAAATACATGTAAGTATATTTTTCTTCATTTTGGTTTCTGATCTCTGGGCTTTAGCTAAGATGAATAAGTTAGTGTATTATGTTAACATACCAAAGAGGATAGTAATTATATGAATCTTGTGCATGGTTACAGTATTAGCTCTTTACTGTCACATATACAGCATAAACTTTTACTGCATATTATTTATCTAAGATTATATTTCTGTCAATGCTTTCAAATACTGTTAGATTGAAACAAATGAAAGAGAATAGTAATTTCTAAACTTATTTTCATGTTAGAATATAATATCTGTTTCAAGAGGTAAAACTTCAAATTTCACTCTGTACATTCTTGCAGATATAAGAAACTTGTTAAAAGAAAAGAAACAAAGTTAGATGAGCACAGAAGTGGAGACCTTTATTTCCATGGAGATACAAATTCCAGTGCACTTGAAGTGAATATTCCAAATACCAGGCTAATCTACAAGGTAATTTCTTAGTAGTTTTGGGAACAATAACTACTTAGTTTGGGGAACTATACATCATTGCATTTTAATCAGTGAAGGGAAGGATATTTTTTGACTTTTATTTGATATAATCACTCCTTTTCAATTCAAAGGGTATCTTGTTGTTTTAAGCCCTGGCCAATGATACAAAGCCAACATACAGACCATCACATAACCTCAAATCATGTGTATGAAATGAATTTTGGGATGTTGGTTGCATCTTTATTAAAATAGTTTACGTAGGTTGAAATTCAGTCATTTAAAATGTGCAATTTGGTTGCATTCAGTATATTCAGAGTCATCACCCCAATTTCAGGAAATTCTTTCATTCTAAAAAGAAAATTCAGACCTTTCAACCATTGCCTACCTCTTTCCTGGCTCACTGTTAAAGAACCAGTGATATACTTTGTAGATTGTGTTCTTCTGGACATTTTGTATCAAAATACTCAATATGTGTCCTGGCTTCTTTTGGGACTGCCTTCTTTCACTTAGCAGGTTCTCAAGATTCATTCATTTTGTAGGTATCTGTACTTTATTTTCTCTTCTAAGTAATGTCCTCTTGTGTGTATTTTTAATTCATCAAGCAGTTGATGGACTTGCAGTAGTTTCCATTTCAACAGTTATTCATACTGCTGTGCAAATACATGTACAGCATTTTGTGTGTGCCTGCTTTCATTTCTCTTGGCTTCTGTGTGGAGTCATGTGGTAACTCTCTGTGCTTAACCTTTGGAGAAACTAGCAGTGCCGGTCCATTTTCCAAACTTATTGCACCATTTCACCTTCTTCCAGCATTGTATGAGAGTTACAGCATCTCTGTATCCTTGCCAAGAGTTTTTATTCTTTTTGGTTGAAAGATTCCATGCAAATGAAGTGAAATCTGATTGTGACTTTCCCTTGCATTTGCATTTTACTTTTATAATGCAACTTCCCTATTGGTGAGTAAGGGCGTGGTGTTGGGCATATGTGTTTTCACAAGCCGATTGACATTTGTGTATCTTCATTGGACAAATGTATACTTCAGTTATTTCTGCATTTTCAGTTTGAGTTACCTTTTCCCTTTTCCTTTTTTTTGAGACAGGGTCTTACTGTGTAGCTCAGGCTTTCCTTGAAGTCCTGAAAAACATCTGGCCTCAGCCTTTGGAGGGATTCCAGGTGTATGCCACCATGCTCAGCTTTGGGTTATCTTTTCTGCTTTTTGAGTCCTTTATATATCCAAAATATAAATCCTTTATCAGATACACGATTGTCAGATATTTTCTGTCACTCCGTGGCTTACCACTTCACTTTCTAGTCCTGTTGGACCCTGTAAGTGTCAGTTCTTGTGGTAGGACTACTTTGTCTTTACTCCTATGGAGATATTTTTCTTTCTGTAGGACACTGGCCAGTTCATGTCTTGCTGACTCCATGACATGAAGGGAAGTCAGGCTGACAAAGCAGAGCCCATTGCTGTCCTTTTCTCCATGCAAACTTTTCATCTTCCATCCAGGGCATCCTTCGTATCTCCCATTCCTCCATCTTGGCAGAGCATCTGCTAACTCAGAATGCTATTCACTGCATGTTTCATTAACTCTTTGTCATTCACAGTTATCTCTAGATTGTTAACAACTAGGAGGGGGGAAATGAAGCTAGAAGGGGATAGCCTTTTTCTTTAGAAATTGAGCCAACTGTCACCTTACAGTTCACAGTCCCATCCTCATTTGCCCTGCTATTGGTTCATGTGTACCACACTGGGGCTGATTTTTTGGGGGCACAGATTCTACATGCCAGAAACCACAGTTTCATGCATACACATATCTCCTTTCCCATAAGCAGAGATGCCTAACCTTGCTTTATCCTTCAATAAACATGTTGTTTACTTTTCTCTTATTTCTGAGACAAAATACTCAACCCTAATAATTCAGGGAGGAAAGATTCATTTATCTCAGAGTTTGTGGAGGGTTCAGTCCATAATCATCTGGCTCAAGGACAGAGTGACATGGCAAAGGGGCAAGAGTTCCACTTGACAGGAGACAGCAAGAGCTTCATTGAGCCAAAGAATAAAGAGTAAGCCTCTTTCCCTCCCTTGTATTGTAATCAGACTACCACTCCCGAGAGTGGGTATAGCATTCACACCATCTCCGTGCCCTCTTGTACAGGATGAGCATGTTTACACAGTGAGGACATGGAGCTTCTGTTGAGTCACTTCCTTAAATGTCTAAATTTCTCAAGTTAAAACAGTGTATCAGCCACTGCAACCATTACCAGTCATTACAGGGCTCATGGATTAAACAGTTCAGCCCAAGAATAATTTTTCAAGAGTATAGTTCATAAAAATCAAGCAGTGTTCAGGCAGTTTGACAAAGACAGATAGTAGTCAAAGTAGTGATATGAATTTAAAATTCCAAAGCCTATTTGTATCCCATGGGGAAATGTTGTTATATGGTCTTCTGCATGTGAACACACTTGAACAGGTTAAAGAAAAGCTGTATTTCTTTTCTTCCCTTTCTAAGGACACTACATTTGTTGTACTTCTGAGATTAAAAATTGCTCCACAGTGTTCCTTTTTCCTCATTAAAGAAAGGAAAATAAAGTTTTAATACCAAATTACTAAGCATACAGAAGTACCTGTTTTAGAACCCAGTAGTTGAAATCTTTATATCTGATTTTGAGTATTAAACCAAATAATTTTGTTGCTTTTCAACTATTATTTTTCATGTGCTTTCCATTCTTTCATGTCTCCTAACTGATCAGAAAGTCCAAAGAAACCAGTTTTCCTCCTAGTAATAACCTACAACTGAAAGGAACTTTAGAAAGCCTTCTTCCTCAGTCATCTCAACATTTATCTTCTATTCAAGCTGATCATATTAGCACTGTTATTGATAAATGAGCCTCATTATTTGTGAGAACCTACTAGGGGGCTAATTTCTGATTAATTTTTTTTCTTCTTGTCTGTTTTTTTTTTTTTTTTTTTCTTTTTCTTTTCCTTTTTATCGGTACCGGGAATTGAACTCATGACTGCCTGCTTGCAAGGCAGGCACTTATGCCGCTGAGCTAAATCCCCAGCCCTCTTCTTGTCTGTTTTTAAAAACTTCTTTTTTTCCCCTCCTTGTACATGAAACTTATGCTGGATTGTAGTAAATTACCCCCAATTTAGTAGTTTAAGACAGTATTTATCTTCTGCCCAACGCTAGGGCTTGAGAGCAGCTTGGTGAGGACAACATGTCTCTGCTCCCCTAAGCTCATTGGTGCAAGCTGGAGGCTGCAGATCTGGAATATCGAGGGCTGGTTCACTGATGGGTCTGAGTGTGGTGGCCATGGGCTGGAACCATATCCGAGACAGGCAGGTGCTCTAAGTGTCTTCCTCCGCATCTGGTCAACAGTGTGAGACAGCATTCTTCGCCTAGTTTGGGAAGCCACAAGACATCACTTTTAGCACACACTAGTCAGTAGAAACAAGACAAAGGTTGACTTACATGTTATCTAATAGAATATTGTAAAAAACATGTCCTAAAACCAGTACACTTTACAAACCAGCTATAATGTTTTTTTTTTATTTAAAGAGAAAAAAGAAAGGAAACAAACAAACAAAAAAAAAAAAAAAACAAAGCAGTAACAGGGTACAAATAATACAGAATTTCTAGAAAAAAATATACAGTAAGAAATCACTAGTTAATAGGTTATACATTGTCATCTTAGAAACAGTTGTCCAAATTATAAAATTAAAGCACATAAAGTGCACATTCATACAGTGAGATTGCAGACAGTTCCATTCAATGATCCAACAAAAGCTTAGTAATATGGTTTTCCATTCTACACCTCAAACATACATGCAGTTATATCCCTTAGACCACCTTCCTTTCCTCTCTTTTTTACAATAACAATTGCACTTTTTGGGTTTTTTTACTCCCACAGTTCTTATTACTTTTTTTGAAGAGAATGAAACCTAACATAACTAAACAAAACAGAGTCGGTTAGAACAAGAGGATGGGCATAGTACATGATGCAAAAATAGAATATCAGGTGATCAAAAATGGTTACCATTGTGCCTCTTGCTATTTTTAAAAAGATACTAAAATTGAACAACCCAGGTTAAAACCTTTGCAATTAATGAATGAAAATATCATATGGCTTCAAACCAATATCATAATTACCACATACTTTTATGTATTCTTATCATTTCTTATACTAGGGAAACTATTTGGTATTAATACATGCGAGTTTGATTTATTTCATTTATGAGTATGGTCTCAAGCTGCGTCCATTTATTTATAAATATCTCAATGTGATCATTCTTTATAGCTGAGTAGTACTCCATTGCATAAAAACACCACAATTTTTTTATCCATTCCTCAGTTGATGGACACTTAGGTTATTTCCAAGATCTGGCTATTACAAATTGTGCAGCTATAAACATGGGTTGACATATATCACTGTGGTATGATGCCTTCAGTTCTTCTGGGAATATGCCTAGAAGTGGAATAGCTGAGTCAAATGAGGCTTCCAGTCCCAGATTTCTGAGAAATCTCCAGACTGACCTCCACAATGGTTGTACTAGTCTACACTCCCACCAAGAGTGCAGGAGAGTTCCTTTTTCCCCACAGCCTCTCCAGCATTTGTTGTTGGTGGTTTTCTTGATCTTGGCCATTCTTTCAGGAGTGAGATGAAACATCAGTGTTGTTTTAATCTGCGTTTCTCTAATGACCAGTGATGGTGAACATTTTTTCATCTACTTATTTGCCATTTGCATTTCTTCATCTTAAAATTGTTCATTCATCTCAGATGCCCATTTTTTGATTGGATCTTTGAATTTTGGGGGTCTGATTCTTTCTAATTCTTTATATGTTTTAGACAGAAGTCCTTTGCCTGAGGGGCAGTTCACTAAGATTTTTTTCCCAGTTTGTGGGTTTTCTTTTCACTATGCTGGAGATTTCTTTTGACGTGCAGAAACTTTTTAATAAGAGGCAATCCCAATTATTGACTCTGGGAAGTATTTCCCGTGCGGTTTGAGTCCTGTTTGTGAATTCTCTACCTACTCCTATGTCTTCAAGGTTTTTACCCAATTTGTCTTCCAATAGATTCAGTGTTTCTGTTTTAATATTTAGATCTTTGATCCATTTAGATTTTATTTTAGTGCATGGTGATAGGCATGGGTCTAGTTTTAGTTTTTGACATATGGAGAGCCAGTTTTTCCAATACCATTTATTAAATAAAGAGGCTGTTGTCCTTCCAGTCAACATGTTTGGCCCCTTTATCAAAGATAAGGTGGTTGAGTGTTTGTAGTTGTGGTTGTATCTTCTAATCTATTCTACTGATCTTTGGCTCTGTTTTGGTTCCAGTACCATGTTGATTTTACTAGTTGCTTTGTAGTATAACTTCAAGTCAGGGATTGTGATACCTCCTGCCTTGCTTTTGCTCCTTAGAACTGTCCTTGCTATTCTAGGTCTCTTCTCGCTTCAGATCAATTTTAGGAGGGAATTCTCTAGATTTATGAAGTATGTTGATGGTATTTTTATCGGGATTGCATTGAATCTGTATAACAGTTTTGGGAGAATGGCCATTTTCACAATATTTATTCTTCCTATCCATGAGCAAGGGATGTCTTTCCATTTTCTGACATCGTCTTCAATTTCATCTTTCAGTGTATTATAATTTTCCCTGTATAGGTCTTTCACTTCTTTTGTGAGAGTAATTCATAAGTATCTCATTTTTTGGTTGCTAGTGTGAAGGGTGTGGCCTCCCTTATTTCTCTGTCTGTGATTTTGTTGTTAGTGTATAGGAATGCTATTCATTTTTGAGTATTGATTCTGTATCCAGCTACATTACTGAATTTATTTATTATATCTAGGAGTCTTTCAATGGAGTTTTGGGGATCTTCTATATAGAGTATCATATCATCTGCAAATAATGATAATTTAACTTCTTTTCCTATCTTAACGCCTTTTATTTCTCTCTTGTCTAATTGCTCTGGCCAATATTTCCAGTACTATATTAAATAGGAGCGGTGATAAGGGACATCCTTGTCTTGTGCCTGATTTTAAAGTAAAGGCCTTCAATTTCTGGCCATTTAATATGATATTGCCTGTTGGTTTGTCATAGATGCCCTTAATTATATTGAGGTAAAGATCATCTATTCCAATTTTCTGCAAGGTTCTTATCATAAATGAATGTTGGACCTTATCAAAAGCTTTTTCTGCATCTACAGAAATGATGTGATTCTTACTTTTGACTCTATTAATATGGTGTATTACATTTATTGACTTACATATATTGGACAATCCCTGCATGCCTGGGATGCATCCCACTTGGTCATGGTTTATGATCTTCTTGATGATTTGCTGCATCCTATTTGTCAATATTTTATTAAGGATTTTTGCCTCTGTGTTCATGAGGGAGATTGGTCTGTAGTTTTCTTTTTCAGTTGGGTCCTTCTCTGGTTTTGGTACTAGAGTAATATTTGCTTCTAGGAACGATTTAGGAAGGATTGCTTCCCTTTCAATTTCATTGAAGAGTTTGAGGAGTGTTGGCATTAGGTCTTTTTTGTATTTCTTGTAGAATTCTTCAGTGAATCCGTCTGGGCCTGGGCTCTTCTTTGTAGGTAAAGATTTAATTACGTTTTCAATTTCATTAATATAAATTGGGTTACTCAGTAGTTTTACATCTTCATGACCTAGCTTTGGGAGTTTGTATGCTTCTAGGAATCTTTTTATTTCCTCTGTGTTATCAAACCTTTAAGAGTAGAGGTTTTTGAAATAAGTGTTGACGATCTTTTGTATTTCTATAGCGTCTGTAGTAATTTCGCCTCTTTCATTCCTTATTGCATGAATTTGAGCTTTTTCTTCCCTTTTTTTTAATAAGGTTGGCTAGGGGCTTATCGATTTTATTTATTCTTTCAAAGAACCAACTCTTTGATTCATTGATTTTTTTTTTGATTGCTTTTTTAGTCTCTAGTGCATTGATTTCTGCTGATTTTAATAATGTCTTCTCTTTTGGCTTTGGGCTTGACTTGCTGTTCTTTTTCTAGATGTTTGAGGTGTAACATAAGGTTATTTATTTGTATTTTTTCTGTTTTTCTGATGTGGGAACTCAGTGCAATAAACTTTCCTCTGAGGACAGCTTTCATTGCATCCCACAGATTCCAGTAAGTTGTATTTGTGTTTTCATTTGTTTGCAGGTATTGTATAATTTCTCCTTTAATTTCCTCTGTGACCCATTGATTACTCAAGAGTGTGTTATTCAGTTTCCATGTGTTTGTGGGATTTTTGCAGTATCTTTTATCATTAATTTCTAATTTCATAGTGCTATGGTCCGATAGCATGCAAGGGATAATTTCAACCCTTTTGCATTTATTTAAATTTGTTCTCAATGATGGGGCAGATAGTGGAATGAAGGGGAAAAGTAGAGAACCAATGGCAGAAAAACAGCATAGCAGAAATGAGGCAGAGAAGGTTGGCTGTAATCTCTAAAATAGATAGCATTGATACAATAATGAAAAGAAACACAGGCAGAATAGATCAGGAGATAGGGTCCATCAAGATGCTCTGTGTATTTTGGTGAGAGTGTAGACTGGTACAACCTTTGTGGAGGTCAGTCTAGAGATTTCTCAAAAAGCTGGGATTGGAAGTCCCAATTGTTCCAGCTATTCCACTTCTAGGCATATTCCCAGAAGAACTGAAAGCATCATACCACAGTGATATATGTGCACCTATGTTTATAGCAGCATAATTTGTAATCGCCAGATTTGGAAACAACCCAAGTGCCCATCAACTGAGGGATCGATAAAAAAGTTGTGGTACTCCACAACACTTCTATATAAGGAGTACTACTCATCTATAAAGAGGGATCACATTGAGATATTTATCAATAAATGGGCGCAGCTTGAGACCATACTCATAAGTGAAATAAATCAATCTCACATGTGTGAATAATATAAGAAATGATTCAAATATATAAAAGTATGTGGTAATCATAATTCCTCATTGTGTGGCCTTGAAGCCTTATAAAACTTTCACTCATTAACTGGAATGGCTTTATTCTGGGCTGCTTGATATTATTGCCTGTGATGAAATGAACAGCTATTTTGAAAATAAGACATCATAATAACTAGTGCTGATTTAATATCATCTTGTTTTGATGTCCCACCAAACTGTTGCTCTTCTGTCTCCATTGGTTTTATCATGTTGTATCTTACTGGATTTTATTATATGTGATAGTATAAACAAAAATTTTTATAGGCAAAGAGATAATATAGAAACCATTGTTCATTTTCTGTTAGCTGGTTCTAAATACCCTGTAATACTTTCATTCACTTGAATGGTTTCACACTGTTTTGATATGTCTGATGCTATAGTATACGAAGTTATATTCAAATATTTCAAGGAAAAAGACACTATGGTAACTACTATTAAGTCAGATTATTTGGTGGTGAAGCAGTAGGTTGCTTTCACCTGTATTGTTATTTTGCTATGTCCTCTTTTATCTCAATCTCCCCCTCATTCATTAAAAAATTATTTATTTATTTTTATTGTTTTATTTTTTTTAATTAAGGGGAAAATAAAAAATTAGCAGGATGTATTATAGCAACTTTTTTGATTTCCTATTAACTTGATTTAAAGTCCTGTATTACTCCCACTATCTTGTTTTGACTCATCAGACTCTGTTCCCCTCTGTTTGATAGTAACAGGTTTGAGAGTATAGGCAACTACTTTGAAGGCAATAAAATTGACTATGATGCCCATTCTGGTTTGACTATTATTTTTTTTTAAGTCCTGTAATGTTTACAATGTTTAGGTTTTATTAGTCTTGTTCTCTACTGTTTTGTTCAAATTAATTATACCTAATGATATAGGCAATTCTTTTTAGGGAAGCAGGTGACATTATGGTAACCATTGTTGATAACCGTGTAGTCTGTTTTTACATCATGTACTATGTCTATCCTTGGTTTTGACTGACTGCTTTGTTTTGCCATATTTGGTTTTGTTTTCTTCCAAAAGGAGAGTAATAAGAACTGTGGGAGTAATAAAACCCAAAATGTGTAAAATGTTGTAAAAAAAGAGAGAGAAAAAAAAGTGCTCTAAAGGATACAACTGCAAGTGTATTTATGTGTGTTAGATAGATGACCATATTACTGATGTTGGATCATGGAACACAACAGTTTGCAGCCTCACTGTTTGAATGTCCACTTTGTATGCTTTAATCCTGTGACTTGAGCAACTGTTTCTAAGATGACAATGTGTAATCTATTAACTGGTGATTTCTTACTGTTTTTTTTTTTTTGTAGTCCTGTATTACTTGTACTCTTACACTGTTTTGTCTTGTTTTTTTTTTCCTTTTAAACAAATTTTAAAAAATAAAAATAAAGAAGAGCCTGGAGCGAAATATTCCAAGCCCTGAAAGAAAATAACCTCCATCCCAGATTGATATACCCTGCTAAACTCTCTCTAGAAATTAATGGAAAAACAAGATGCTTCCAAAACAAAGAGGAACTTGGAAAATTCGCAACCACCAATCCAATTCTACAGAGAATACTGCAGGGCATTCTAGAGACAGAAAAAAGTACTCGGATTCCAGGAACAGTGGCAGAGAGGCCTCAATGCATGGAGCAGAAAACAGAATAAAGAAATAAGCAGATAACTGATGGCAAAAAAAGAACATAACAGAAATGAGGCACAGAAGGTTTTACTCAAAACTGATCCAATTGATAGTATCAAGTCTGAGAGTATAGGCAACTACACTGAAGATAACAAGACTCTACAATGCACATTCTGGTTTGATAACTGCCGGTTTCTGAAGTTCTATACTATATACAATGTTGTGTTTTTATTATATGCTTATATATTCAATTATACTATGTGTGATGATATAGCCAATTCTATTGGATATAACAAGAGACAACACAGGAACTATAGTAGAACTCATTGTACAACGGTCTTATGTCTTTTTCTTTCCATGTGTTTATAGGAATATGTTTTGTTTTGCTTTGTTTTGTTTCTCCCTCTAATATAGAAAGGATAGAAATACATGTTAAGACTCATACATGTGTAGAATCTATAAACAGTTTACGAGAACTGATCTTATGACACATAATGAAATGAACAGATACTTTGAAGAAAAAGAGACCCTAAAATACCCAGTGCTGATCCCGGAGTGTCATAATGTGACACCCAGCAATAGTACTATTCTTTGTTCAGAGTGATATTAGCCTGCTTGGGTTTATTCAATCTCAACATAATTGAAGATATGGATACCTGCATGTATGTTTAAGTGTATAGGATTGATAACCATATTTCTAAGTTTTTGTTGGATAGTTGAACAGAACTGGTTGCAATCTCACTGTTTGAATCCCCATTTTATATGATCCACTTTAATATCTTGAATAACTATTTGTAAGAAGACAATCTGTAATCAATTAGTGATTTCTGGTTTTTTTCTTTGACATTATGTATTATTTCTATGCATTTTCTGTTTTGTTCAGTCTTTCTTTAAATTAAATTTTTTAAAAAAAAGACACTACAGTACCCAGTGCTGATCCCGGAGTGTCATGATGTGAAATCCAGCAATACTATTATTCTTTGTTCAGAATGATTTTAATCTGCTTTAGTTTAATCTAAACATAAATGAAGATATGGATGTTTAAGTGTATAGGACTGACAACAGTGTTACTAAGTTTTGTTGGACAGTTGAACAGAACTGTTTGCAGTCTTGCTGTTTGAATTCCTACTTTACATGTTCCATTTTTATATCTTGAACAACTATTTGTAAAACAACAATATGTAAACATCAACTAGTGATTTCTTACTGGTTTTTTTCTCTCTGAATATATGTAGTATTTCTACCTATTTTCTGTTTTGTTTAGTCGTTCTTTAAAATTTTTAAAAAGTTGAGTGCACTAATATTTGATGCATATATGTTTATCTGTTTATCTGTTTTATTATTTCCTTAACCAATATGTAGTGAGCTTCTTGGTCTTTCGATCAGTTTTGCCTTGAAATCCACTTTATCTGAAATTAGAATAGCTTCTCCTGATTTTTTCTGGGTTCCTACTGAATAAAATATTTTTCCATTAGAAAAAAACATGCCACTGAAAAGGTGGGACAGTCTTCTCCTGTTCTTAGCAATGATTCAGCTGTGCCTGATACTGTCCTTGAAAAAGAGCAGTGATTGCCAGGAAAGAGCAACCACAGGTGGGACAGGTTGTATATTGATAAGGTGATTATTAAACTGTCATCCATCAGCTGGGTGACATGCACATGCCACAGTCCTGCTCTTTCCACATAAGCTGCAGCTCTGTATGGCAGGAGCAGTGTCCATAAAGAGACACGCTGGCTGTTGTGCCTCCTCTCCACATAGACCTCTCCACTACCAGGTCAGGTTCAGCAGGCATGGGCCTCTCCCAGGTCACTCTCTGTGTTCTCAGAGGCCAGCGGTATCCTGACGCCAACTGCTTCCCATCCTCAGGATTGAAATTACACCAGACTCACGATGAAGTCTTGGAAGCCTCAAAGGCCTCAAAGGTGCCTCTTGTCACATAACCTGAGGCACAAGGAAACCAGTAGCATTCCTCAATTCACAGTGTGAATATAGCCCCAACTTCATGGGGACACCACCTGCAAAGCAGGGCAAGTCTCATGTGGCAGAGAGGAGATGTTGGTAGCATCATCACCCTCAGTCCAATACAGGTGCCTCCTCTGCAGTGGCCCCTGCAAGTGACTGCACACAGAGGGAAACTTTCTTGCAGCAGAGAGCTTTCCAGGTCACAAGGAAAGCTAGCACCTCCCTGTTTGTAACATATGCCCTACCCTGTACTGCTGGGCGTGACCTCTGTACTACTGTGTGTGACCTCACTACTTCTTAATGTTTATTCAAGACCTTCAAGCTGTTCTAAAAAATAAAAATCCAAGCCATGCAATTAGGTTTTCCTTTATTTTCAGTTAATGAATATAATAGCATACCACTGACTTCAAAGGGAAAGATTTCCAAATAAACAGCCACTGTCAGTAAGTTCTAGCAGAGGGGGCAACTCATGGGCACATCGGGCCTGGATTAATGACAAAGGAGTTTAATCAGATGCCCAGGAACACTCAGAAATCAGATTTTCACTGCATCCCTAGAAGCACATCTGGTACACATTTTTGTCTTCAGAAATAGCAAGCAAATAACAGCAATAGAGAGAGAGAAAGAGATGAGTGCTGTGGAGCTGTCAGTGAAGGGCAGCACGGCACCACAGGACACAACCCATCTCTGAGTCCCAACAAGAAGGGCATCGAGGACCCTCACCCTGCACCTGCCACATTAAAGCTAGTCCCTCATCTAGAGCATGCCCAGCCCTCACTGCAGAGACAGTGGTTATTTATACACGGGGGGACCCTCTGAACCTCATATCCCATTGTGAAACTCCCAGGGTTACTGTAATCCTTTTCCAACTATTAGAAACAACTCCAACAGCTGTATATTAAATCATGAGACTTTGTCATGCTTTGTTTCACCATTTTCCCATTGCACATTTGGGCTTTTTTGCATGATAAACCAACAAAAGCATTTTTTGAGACAGGGTGTCACCATGGAGTCAAGGCTGACCTGAAACTCAGTAGGGGACGAGGCTGGCCTCAAACTCATGTTGATCCTGCCATCTCTGCCTCCAGTGTGTGGGGATTGTAGACTTACGATGGTCATATGACTGTGTGATGAGGAGTTTTCTGCCTCCCTAGATTGTGAGCCCTCAGGTTTGTTTCCAGCTGTGTATTTCTGTTCTGAGGGAGGATGTAATGCAGTGGGGAGACTTCAGCATTTGTCAAGTCACTGAAGGAAAGAGCCTCTGATTTGCACTCAGGCTTCATCCACACAATGTTCCTGAGCTTCCCATCAGCTGTGCACAGTCACTTCCCTTATCTAAGGTTTTTCTGTAGTTCTTTTAATAAATCCTCGGCTCCCTGAGAAGAACTGCATGCCGACCTTGTTCTCCCAGAGCTCGGGACACAGGAAGGGCAGAAGATGCCAACTTTTAGGCATAAATTTAATAGCCGAGAGTCTTGATTGATAATCCGTAGACTCTGATTACCATGTTCAACTCAAACAGGAAAGGTAAGCAACTACTTCCACCTGAATCGCCTACACCAGTGCTGCCCAAATGAAAGCTCTCTCTTGGGTATTTTCATGTAACTGAAGGTCTCTGTAGTGTAAGAAGAGGCAAAAAGAAATGCAGCGTTCTGGTTGGCCGATCCATCTGCTGGGGTTTTCAGAGCGAGCAGAGGAGCGAGAGTCCCCTTTGTGTTTCTCCCAGACACAGTGAGCTCCCCAGCCTCCGCCAGCGACCCTGGGATCCACAGCAGTGCTTCTGGCAGAGCTGCAGGAAGCGCAGGGGCAACCAAGGTCAGGCTCCCTACGGTTTATTTATTTTTCAAAGACAGTGATTTTATCCAGTTCGTTTTAGGTACATATAATGATCACATTCATTATAGAGAATCCGCATCTGTACAGGACAGAACTTGATTCTTTTTTCTTTCTCTCCCTTCTGGAGCCCTCTGTTTAACCTCAGGCTTTCTGTGGTGTAAAAGCAGCACCTGTGAGGTAAGACAGACACTTTGTTTCCAGGGGTTACTATTTTTAGAAAGTGTGAAAAGGCATGTTTTCAAAGTTAATATAAATTGTGTTTTAAAATTGTTATGATTGTAATAATTCTCAGGATAAAAGGGCCAACTACAGCCAAAATATCAGGGAGCTGTTAAAAATGGTCTTTTTACTTTCACTTTAAGAAAAATCTTTTTCTGTTAAGACATACTTTCAACACTTATTTATATAAATATGGCCTGTGTCTACAAAAACTCCCCCGCACGCCTGCCTGTGTATGGCACCTGCATTTCCACTGCTGATCATCGACTGCCTCCCTCAATAGACCAGTGAGCGCAGCCGACAGCGACGCAGAACACACGACACCTCTGTGTTTCCAGTTTCTGACGCCAAGACTCAGGGTAGGGGGACGAAGGAGGCTTTCAGTTGTGTCCTGTGAATGTCACAAAGCTGGGCAGATAAGCAAAAGAACCAGGTGTCCTCTATCCTCACCGTGCCTGCTCTGGAGAGGATATGAAGATTTAGAGCACTGGTTTGAAAACTGCAGTCCAGTTACAAATACTTGCAATTAGTAACAGTGCAAATCAATGGCGCAGGCTGACAAAGGACACAAACCTGTATTCTAGGCCAGAGTGGGAACGACGAAAGCGACAGCTCAGAGAGAAGGCTCAGTGAAGGCAGAACCTGGGTGTGGCATGGCGGGGAGGAAAGGAACAGAAATGACGGGAGGCAAAGTGCAGAGACAGAAAGCAGCAAGCCTGCACGGGAACCCTGACACACCGCTGGCTGGGGTAGGAAGCCCAGATACTGCCCTGCTCCGGTGCCAAAGCCATCGCTGAAGGAGCCGGTGCAGTGTACTGACTTCCTGCTGCTCCTCTCACCTGCAAACTGAGGCCTGAGAGTAATGTGGGGAGGTAAAGAGGTAAAACTGTGTCTCCCTGGCAAGATGATTCTCCCTGACAAAGGGCGCCAGGAAATTAAAGCTGGGGCATCACTGGGGAGCACAGAGGTGGTACCCTACAGGCAGTCATGGGCCCTGCCTGCACCTGAGCCTCCACATCACCCACAGTCAAGAGCACGCTGGCTCCTCCACATCCCACAGCACCCCTCCACTCCTGCAGGGCAAGCAGCCACAGCGAACCACTTGTAGTTGTTGTGTCGTACGTCAGTGCATTTCCAAAATTTTCAAATGCCTCCTGGTACACACCAAGCTTGGGGAAAAGCAGAGAATTTACGTGAGGGAGGAGATGGCCAGCTGCATCCTGAACAGAAACACCTGCATGTTTAAAGAAAATAGAAGCCCCTGCATTTGTGGGGTTTTTATTTTGTTGGCTCTTAGCAAGGGTTAAACTGCTATTTTCCTAACCTATTTCTGACATTTTTGTGCTGTTCCACAGTCATACTCCTGGCTGGACATAAGCTGGCTAGTCTCATGTCCTGTGGCACCAGCTGCCTAAGCTGGGACCCAGGGTTAAGCTTCCAGCTCCTGTTAAAGAGGAGCAGAACAGGTGTAAGGGCTACCACTAGTAGACTCAAGGAAGAGCCCTTTGAAAAGGGAAACAGAGTGGGCAGCCACAGCTCCAGGCCCCAGGCTGAGGTGGAGAAGCAATAGAGCTAAAGAACCATCTGCTTTAGGGAATGCAGGGGCAGGGCACTGGGGGCCAGGATTTCCCACTGTGGACAAAGTAGGCTGTGCTGCCTCGGTTTCCCGTAAGACCCTGCCTGGAGGGAGCAGGATGCAAACAGCCTTTGCTGAGGCCCAGTGAGTGTTCACTTACAGTGGTTTCATCCCCAAGACTGGATGTGGTTTCTCACACCCTTTCCTGTTACATAAAATCATAGTTACATAAAGGCTACACAGAGTTCTTCTGATGTAGGTGAAGCAAATGCACTCTTCTGGCGAAGAATATAAAATAGAATATAAGATTCACGTACTGTGTGACTGCTAGTAAAATACATTAACTTTTAGAGTGTAGAGGACTTCACCAGCATTTCCAGCACCCATGGGTGAAGACAGGGTATCCCTACCTGTAAGTAGAGCAGCCCCAGTATGGTGTTGAGCTCCGTGTTTTCCAGTGAGAATCTGTAACAGAGATGCTCTGAGGGAGGTGATGGTGACAAACATGGACACTCAGGCTGTTATGGTTTGTGTCTGGATGTCCCCCTGAGCCTCATGCAGTCATAGGGCTTTTTCAGAGGTGGATGAATCTAGCATGCGATGCTGGGATTAAGGGCATGTAATTAGTAAATCATGCCAGTAACTGCTTTGGCATAGTTCTGGCTAGGATTAAGGGTGTGAATGCTACATCCACTTTGCAGGAAGTCTTGTCATACCCTTGTGGCTTTTCTGTCACCGTAAATGATTGCCTGTCTGTCATGCTGCCCTGCCATGGAATCAGCCAACTATGACTGACACCTCTACAAACTGTGAGCTAAATAAACCTCTCCCCTTTAACTTTGGGTATTGAGTGCTTTGTCTGAGCAACAAGAGAAAACTAAGACACATGCATAGCCAGCTGCCCTCGTGGAATTTGAGGCGCTGCCGCAACTCCTTTGCCCAAAGAAATTCATGTGAAAGTAGGTCCTCTTCAGCCAAACCCAGCTTAGAAAACTTAGCGAGACTTTGTCTAGAAATTTTTAAAAAAGATTTTTTTTTTTAAATGACTGCACATGTAGCTCAGCACCAAGGCCCTGGGTACTACACATTTAAAAAGTAGGTTTCCTCAACCCTGGCTACAGCAAGGTTTGTATAGATAATTAAAAAAAAACCAAAACCCCAGATTCGTTTCTTAGGGCCATCATACTAAGAACAGACCTGTGGAATGTGCTGTGTGACTGCCATGACCATGTTGATGAGGAACAAGGCTTTACAACCAGGTGAGCATGGAGCATACAGCTTAAGCCAGTCTTCCTGCAGGATTTCTTTCTTGTTTCCACTGTGCTCACAATGCCATGCAGCATAATGTTCCATGTAATTTAGCACTGCAAGGCCTCTGATACTACTCTCCAAATTAAACAGGCCATATGCTAAACAGCCAAGTCAAACACAAGCAGAGACACACCAGCCACAGGGACAAAGCAGGCCCTGGAGGTAGACTCTGGCTTCAGTAAAACAGCGTCTACCTCTTCAGTCCCTATGATACAGACCTGGTCAAAAGCCACAGCAACACTGGGGACACTGCAGGGTCATCAGACAGAAAACCAGGGGTGCACAGCATGACCTCCTGCCCCTAAGGAGTGATGCAGGGTGCTGGTCATATGCAGCAGAGTCAGAGCCGTGTGAGTTGGCCATGCAAAGCTTTTGCAGGGGTGCCGGGAGGGAATGTGCCTTTCACCTCCGACATCACTTCTATCCCCAGACCACAAGTGGCACTTCCCAGGTTCCAGCAGCATCTTACCCACTCGACAGGACCACTCCCTCCACAACCTTGGTTGTCACCTGTGCTTGAGCAGTCACTGCACACGACCACCTTGGGGTCCGTTACATCAAAGTGACAACTTCCAGAAGGCAGGCACTGAGAATCCCAAATACCACAGAGTTCCCCAACCAATTACATGACTCTTCCCTGCTTGCCCAGGGAAACAGCCTCAGTCAACAAGTTTATTGTCCATTTTACTGTTAGAGACAGGGTCTCACTTTGTAGCACAGGATTCCTTCGAACTCACAGTGATTCTCCTGCCTCAGCCCTGAGTGCTGGGATCGCAGGCCTGCGCCACCACACCAACCTATAAGTATCTTTCGTAGTTTACCAAACCAAAGAATTTTTCTGGATTTTTAAAATTCAAAGTGTGACTGAAAAAAATATAGAAAGCAATGTGACTGAAACAATCAGAAAATTTCCTGTCATAGTAGAATACAGAGGTAATTAATAAATTAATAGAAGTCTAAGCTTCGTTCATAGTCTAATTTTCAGGAGTAAGAGACCCTGAACTACAGACCAGACATCTTAAAAAGAGACCAAACAAATGAAACTGAGAACACTTCGTTACAGCTGCCTTACTTAAACCAAACCAAACCAAATCCTGTAGAGCAAAGAAGGATCACATGTGTACTGAGGGAAGAAACATGAAACTCCACTGCAAGGAAACCAGTCAGTTCCACTGCCAGCAGGGGTCTGGATGACCCTAGCAATGTTTTTAAAAAGAAAACACACTGGCAAGGTCCTGTTCTTCTGTAAGCTCAGCACTGTGGGAGGCTAAGGGAAGAGGATTGCCAAATTCAAGCTCAGGATGGGCAAATTAGTTACATACTGAGACTATTCCAAAAAAACCATTTTTAAACAAGTGTTGTGGATATAGCTCAGTGTGAATGCCCTGGTTCAATTTCCAGTGCTGAAAATAAAAAAATTTTTTAAAAGACCAAAAAAAAAAAAAGAAAACACTGGGACTAGAAGTGTATGTCAGTGGTAGAGTGTGCTTAGCAAGTGCAAGGCCCAGGGTTCAAGCGCCAGCACCAAAACAACCAAGACACTGCTGAGCCAGGAGATTCCGTCCCCAGTGTGATGTCTAGAAATACAAGCTCTGTTGTAAAGCATGACACCAAAGTGGCAAACTGCCAGCTGCCCTAGACCTTGCCCGGTACATGTCTTGTCTGCTGCTTCTCTTGCCGCTGCGTGCTGCTAGGTCTGAAGTGTGTCACTTACACCCCACTTCCGGACGCTTACTCCCTGTTTAGCCTCAGGTGCCGTCACCCTCACCATTGAGTATGGGTCCGGGGCACTGAAACCAAGTGACACACAGCTGTGCGTTACACGGGAGACAGAAACAAGCTCCCCGTATGAAGCCGCTCACAGGAGCTGGCAACCTAAACTGCTGGCAGGACTCACGCACACACGTGCTCTCACTCAGGCTCATGTCCCCACTCTGTGTCGTCTCTCACTGCTCTAAACAAGGAAAGAGACACTCATTCCACAGCCTTCTTGTAGATCTTGATCACCTTGTCCCGTCACCCTGCAGCAGGTGAATCTTCCCCAGTATGATGTAGGTCAGGTCGTGCCTGCTCAGCTGGAGCGCACTGTGCAGCTGCTTCTAGGCCTGGCGAGCGTGATGGAGGGAAGCGAGTCACTACCCGGGAAGGACGCTGCAGGGGCCCGAGTTTCAGCAGGGCCTCCACCTGCCTGACACCAAGACACTGTGCAGCTTGCAGTATGGGCCACCTGCCTCTGAAGCTGACTCTTGAGCACACAGGCGCAAGCAAAACCTCTCAACAAAACCCCTGATGCAGGAACCGATCCCATGAATCGGCAAATGGGACCACATCCAATTAAAAACCTTCACAGCAAAGGAAACAGTCACCAGAGTGGAGAGATAACCTACACAGTTAGAAAAATTGTGGACTCCTTGGACAGAGGACTGAGACTATATTAAGCTGAGTGGTGAGGCACGCCAGTAATCCCAGCATTCGGGAAGCTGAGGCAGGAGGATCAGAGTTTGAGGCCAGTATGGGCCATACTGAGTTCAAGGCCAGCTTGAACAGTGAGACCCTGTCTCAAAAACATGGCATGGATATCAGCTCTACTTGGTTATTATGCAAATGACTGAAAATACTCATCTGACCAACGGAAATCTGGGGTATTTCTGAAGTCAGATGTCACTTACTTTGGGTGCTTTAGGTGCCACTCTCCTTCTTCAGTGAAAAGCTTGGGAACCTGTGTTTTAAAAATGAAGCCTTTACATTGATTATCCATGAGCACCTGGTATTTTTCACTTAAGCCCTCAGTATGTAGAATGCTTACTTATTAAACTAGCCACATACGAGCACAGAATTTATTGACAAGGTGCTCTCTTTTATTAAAGCCATGACACTGGTGGGTTTTCACTGATAAAATTTTGTAAAGAAGTTGTTAGGGATAGTTTAACGACATGCAAAGAGCAGATGATTGACTTTTTGCGTGGGTGATGAAGAGGGTTGTTCTCAGAGAGTGAAGTCATGGCAGTAGTGTCATAATCAAGAGGCTCATCCTGCCTTTGCCCGCGCTGGGCTGCGTTTATGGCTCTGGTTTCAGGACACTTCAGTACTCGTGTGACTGCCTTTCACATTGGCTATCACCACATGCAGAATTTTACAGCCTGGCCTGTAAAAGGACGTGGCCTCTGGAACCGTGGCCATGGATACCTTCACCCCACCTGACACTGTCCCAGTGGGTTCCCTCCTCTGGGCAGGGTCACTGCTTAATGCAGGTTATAAGATTTATGTTCAGATGGTGCCAAGGGTTTCTATGAAAGAATCTTGTGAGATAATTATCTGCTGCAAGTGTGCAAGTGTGGTGGTCCATGTGAACGTGCGAGGGTCCCACACACAGTAACACTTGCCCCTGTCTCAGTTCTCCTGCAGCTGGCGAGTGACGCTTTGCCCAGTGACATGACCTTGGCCCTCGCTTACCTCCTCGCCTTACCACAGGTAAGTTGGTCCTCACAAATGGAGAGTTTTAAAGAACCCAAGGGCTCTGTTCTGGGGACCCTTCTCAGTGGAAGTGTCTCGCCTGCTCATGCTCACCACAGCTGAGAGGACCCCGTCGAGTCTATGGAGGGAATCCTGCAGCCTAGTGTAAAGCCTGTCTTTCATCCACCTGTCCCTCAGAGCACCTGCCTAATGGCGTCTTCTCAATTTTCACGCCATCACATTTAAGCGTAGCTTAATCTTGGGTGACGGGATGGAAGCTTGTACCAGATTCCTGGGGTAATGACAAGTGACGGAGTGGCTTGTAGTCTCCTGCTCACTTCCTTCATCCGCATTGACGACATCCCGCTCCTCCCTAGGTGTTAGATGCGAACAGGTACTTTGAGAAGCAGGCACACTCAGCCCTGTCCCTCCAGCTGGCAGTGTACTACTACAGCCTCCAGATCTATGCCCACCTGGTGCCCGGCTTCAGTGACAAGTGCCACCCTCTGTACAGAGTGAGTGCCCTGGCTCCACCATATTCCCGAGGCGGGTGGGTTCGAGCTCTTCCTAACCAGGTGCAGCCCACAGCCCTCGGGGCACCATTGCCGTCCATCTGCACTGAGAAGTAGAGCTTCTCACACTTGCTGTGCCTGTGACTCTTCCCGGCTTTTCTTTGTGTGCTTTCTTTTACTGGGTTCTTGTTTGGGAAATGCTAATGCAGTGGAAGAGGCTAAATGGAGGATTGGTGCTTCAATTCGTTACCCAAAAAGAAGGTGGTTGTCCTAATTCAAGAAAGGGGCCAGCGTGATTTTTTGAGAGTTCTGCACTCTATTTCTAAGCCAAGATGTAAAAGTGATTTACAGATGGAATGTCGGCACATAGCATTCCTGCTGTACCAGGACTCCCCCAGCTTTCACGTCACACACATGTCTTTACTGTTACCTTTTGAGTGAAAACCTCTCTGCACTGTGGATACACCAAAGTGTTCTGGTCCCAGTGCACAGGCAGAGTGGCGTGAGAGGCCTGGCCCTGCCACCCCCATCCTGTGGTGAACAGAGTCCGAGCTTCCCCCTAGTTGGGCATAGTGGCCCATACCTGTTACTACAGGAGGCTGAGGCAGGAGGATTGCAAATTCAAACCAGCCTAGACAACTTCATGATTTAGTGAGACCCTGTCTCAAAATAGAAAAATAAAAGAGCTGGGGACGCAACTCAGTACAAGGTGCTAGGTTTAACCCCCAGAGCTGCAAGAAAAGAAACACTTCCCTGGATTAGGAATGACATTGTCCTGGGGAAAGAAGCATCAGAAATAAGATACGTAAATCAGATATACATTCAAACAGAAGCAAAGTAACAGGAGTGGGGTGTGAGAGAGCGAGGAGGAATGTGCTGTGAAAATGGGGTCTGGAGGGCGCTGGCCAAGGCGGTAGGAAGAAGACCAGATCATGGGAGCAGGACACAGGACACCAAGGACAGGAGATAGCACCAAGCCCCCAAGTGTCGCACTTGTGCCACTGGTACCGTGGCATTTTCTACAGGTATTACAGTTGGTGTCACCATCCCATGATGTCATGTTCAGGGAGAGAAAAGCACAGAAATGCAGTCAGTGACCGTCAGTCACTTACTGCGCCGGCAGAGCCCACAGGAGCTGGCACCTGAACCCTGCACATGACAGGTTGGGCCTCAGCGAGCCAGGGCTTCTTCTCCCACGTACTTCCTGACACAGCCTCCTTGGAAGTTGATATTTGCAACAGCCGCGTTCAGAGTTCTGGGTTTTGGGCCCTTTTGTGCATCTCTGTGGGCGCAGGTGTCATCTTGGCTGCTGCTTCTCCCCACCCTGGGCAGGGGAGGCCGACCCTAGGCTGCTTTTAGACTCACAGCAATCCTCCTGCCTCTGCTTCTTGAGTTCTGGGATGACAGGTATGCACCACCATAACTGGCAGGATATACATATTTATATATTAGATGGAAGTTACATGTGTGCAGTACCTGGACTTTTCCCACTTGACTCTTACCTTTATAACTGTGGTAAAATATGTCCTGAAGTGTGATCTTTGTAGCATTCTTTGTAGGGTTTAGAAGATGAAATCAGTTAAAAATGGAAACATTTAGTTTTATAGTCTATAGTGTCTAATGCAGCAGAGGTAAAATTCAAACTTTATGGTAGACTGTTTCTAGAATGAGTTTTTTAAAGCTATTAATTGAAAATATTAAGTAGAAAATTATCTCAAGAAAAATAACAACCCTAGAGTGGAAACATACCACCTGTTTAAAAATTTCCAGACAATATTACCCAGAAATGGAGACCATTGAACCAGAATGGATTTAGTATCCCTACTAATGAGCAGTAGATCGAGTCAGCTTTCTGTTGTCATGGATATTTATGCCATATTTTGTTTTCAAAATGATTTGACCATATTCGTTAGAGAAATTGTATTTCAGTTACCCTCCTGAAGAACTGAATTGCCACATTTGGGAGGAAAATAGTGTCTTGGTTACTTTTCTCTTATTGCTGGGACAAAATACCCAACACCCAAAATTAAGGAAGGGAAGGTTTATTTAGCTTACAGTTTTTGGAGGTTTCAGTCCATAATCAGCTGGCTGCAAGGCAAGGTGGTGTGGCACTAAGGCAACACTTCAAGGCAGCAGCCAGAGCAAAAAGGAGAGAAGAACAAGCCTCTTTTCCTCCCTTACATTGTATACCAGCCACGCCCTCCCTCCAGGGCAGGTGTACCACTCACAAAGTCTCTGTGCCCTCCTCTTGTACAGGATGAGAATATTTACAAAGTAAGGATTCTGGCTCCTTGCTGAGTCAGTTAAACTTCTAACTCTCTGAAATTGATACAGTGTATCAACCATAATAACATAGAATAAGTCAGTTCATCCCACCTTACATTTTTAAGTTTTTGGTGTTTTTTTATGCTTATATTTTTTATAGTCTGTGATATTTTAAACAGTATCACTCTGATACTGAACCACAAACAATTTTGAAACTTACCCATAAAGCCCTTTGCAGTCTTGCTAAGAGCCAAAGGCTTTCTTTTGACAAGTCTCGCCATGGAACTTGTGGAGGAAAGGGGTGTGTGCGCTCTAAATGGGAACCTAGGTGTGTGGAGCAGATAGGACGGTGGGCAAAGGCAGCTGGCCCTCCCTGTCTCCAGCCTCTGTCCCCTCTGCAGTCACTGGGCAACTCCGAGGTCCAGTGAGAGCAAATGCTGTAGAAACTCAAGGATGCTGCACCTGCAGAGGTGCATGAGAGACAGGAAATGAGTGCTGGGTGGCCGGGAGGTGGAGCATTTTGAGAAAAGCAGTAAATATCTAGTAGAGGCAATAGGTGCGAGGCATAGACCTTCCTTCTTTCCACACCTGGAGGGATCCACAAGGATTGAGTTTATGGTGGTGGTAGGAGCCATGGCAGGCTTCTAGTGTTGGGGGATCCTGGGTCAAAGTTTTTTGCCATCTGAGGACACCGTGTGCCAGAACTAGGCAAGGGCATCAGCTGAGTTCTGTGCAGAGCCCCAGGATGCTGGCCTTGGCCTGCCATTGCATGGATGGTGCCTACGCACGCCTCTGCCAGTCACTGCTTCTCAGTTCCTTGAGAATGAGCTCAGGTCCATTTGGTTAATAGAGTAACCAAGTTTCAATCTTGCCCTTCATGGCACCTGCCTGCCTTGGTTTCATACTCACTGCATCCCAGGACGCCTCAACATGGAAGCTGTGTGTCATTGCTGGTTTGCAGGTAACATGGTGGGGTTTGTAGTTATTAAGTCGCTGTACAAGGTCCCCTAGCTGTTAAGCTGGGCACACTGTGCTGATTTCCAGTGTTACTTCTTCAATGCAAAGAAGAGAGTGTCTCTTTGTGCATTCTTTCTGCCACATGGGAATATGAAAGTTGCTGTGCAGGGACCAGAAACTTTCTGCAGGGCACATAAGACCCTTGGTAGGTGTTGGCAGTGGCAATTATGCACATTCTTCTGTGCTGCCAGTTGGTAGGACTCCTCTCCACCTGGCCTGGAGGTTTGTGGAGGTTTAACTAATGGTCAACTTGAAACACGGAACTGAGTGCGGTGCTGGGTGTGGAAGATCCACCTGAGGATGGTTGCCAACAGCTAAAAAGAGAACTGGAGCGGAGATGGCGCACTGTTTGATCTTCTGGAGAAGCTTGTCTTGCTGGCTTTCCTGCTGTGAACTCAGCTGCTATCATTATTGGAGGAGCTTGGGTTCTTGCTGTCACTGGGGATGGCTATGGTTTTTTAAGGGAGGTCTGGTCTTTACCACATGCATTGCTTCCTTACTCCTATGCTGATCCCTCAGCCTGCTGGCTCAGATCCTTTGTCCTGCTGATGCAGACTTTCTAGCTTCCACCACTGAGCTTTGGGCTTTCCTACTGCTGATCTTTCATACAGACTTGGATGAGACTTTGTTGTGGGCTCGAGGCCTCCAGTTGGACTTGTGGGAGACATTGTTATGGGCTCTATGTTTTCATCTGGACTCGTGCAGGACATTGCCATAGGATCCAGGCCCTCAGCTGTATTCTTTGGGTCTCTAGCGTGTAGACAGATTTCTTTCACTCTTCTGCATTTGACTCTTTGGATGAAAATTATAAAATAATCCTATGCATTATGCATCCTGTAGTAAATCTGTTCCTCTGTAAATACTGACTGCAACAGAGTTTGTATCACAAGTTACATCAGAATGCAGAGAGAATGTCAAGTGAGGTATTGTGCTGTGAGGCTGGTGATGAGTGTGGAGATACAGTGCACATCAGCCCAGCCTGCAGAGCTGGTGTCAACAAGCAAGCTGGCTTCTGAGTTCTGTCCTTAGACCAGGGAGCTGCAGAAGTCACTGTGCCCATGGTGGAAGTTCAGAGTGGTCCCCTGAGAGGTCCAGCCAGCAGATAGAAGGAGACTAAGTTAAAAGGCAGCCATAGCCACACTGAGAACTGAGGCATGGGAACCCCTTGTATCCAAATCCATTGCCAGAAGTAGTGTCTATGTAGCTGGTTCCTAAGTACTCTCCAGTTACAGTTAGATTTGGTTTGTCTACTCCATTTTTCCCTTTGGCTGTAGCCACATAGAACTTAGCACATGCTCTAGCCTTTGCTAGAAGTTGTCTTCATGTTTTTCGAACTGTATTTGTCACTTTTTCATCACTCAGGCAAAAATTCCTGACACCTGTAACTCAAAGGAGGCTAGATTGATTTGCCTCATGGTTTCTGTGGGCTCAGTCCCTGGCTAGCTAGATCTGAGGCTGAAGGGGCACGGTACAACAGTGTGGCAGAGAAGGGCTGTTTGATCCATGGCAGACAAGAAGCAGAGAGAAGGGAGGAGCTGGGGGCATACCCTTCCAGGTCACACCCCAGTGACCACCTCCAACCAGACCCTGCAGCACGTTCAGCCCTGGACTCATCCGTGACGGATCCACAATGAGCACAGCACTGTGATCCATACCTTCTAGGTCCCCCATAGGGTTCAGTGTCGTTTGAACACAGGAGATTTTGTGGGGGACTTTTTAGATCTAGACCGTAGCACTGGCCTTTCTGCTACTGGTACCTGAGGACTTAGCTAAGATATAAACTCTTCTAAGGAGACTTCCTGACACTTGCCCAAGTCCCATTCTTGTAGTTCCCTAGCACCCTGTGCTTACTGTGTCACACTGTGTACAGTCAATAGCTCAGTGTCCTCCGAATAGACTGAGTTTCTGGGGGGCAGGGCATGTATGATGGTAGTGCCTCCCTTGGTACGTAATATGTGCACACAGAAAATTTTCTAAATGGATGAAAGGTGGCTGTCTAGCTTATTATGTATGTTATTCAGGTACAGGTGTTTTGACTGAAGATGTTTCCTTGTGGTTTTTAGGAATAGGACTTAGTATCTGCATAGGGGTGGGGAAAAATTAAATAGAATAAGGTTGACTTGCTCAGGTCCACCTGCTGCTGCATTTAAAGATTTCTTTAAATGGTTTTTACCCAGGCTTGCAGCTGTTTCCTTAAGAGGAGCAAGGGAGACTCTCAGGTGTAGCTGGCAACACAGACCGGACCCTGGTCAGTCTCTTGTGTGGGTCTGGTGTGTTAGGCTTGCTACCCCTAGAGATGCTGACTGCTTGCCTGAGTTAGTGGTGTGTTTCCGAGAACCAGGGTAGATTCTGGGGGTTTCTGTAGTACAGGTGCATGCTAGTTCAGGACCGAAAGAGCCAGAGGTCTTGCTTTAAAAGTGGGAGAGGTTTTCCAGGTGAGGCACAGAGCAGAGGCACTGAATGTGTCCCAGATCCACATCCTGTCTTCGCAGCCCGCTGTGCCTGCTATCTGTGCTGGCTTCAGGCAAGGTGCGCCTTGGTTAGGTGACCACAGCTGAAGGGCCAGTGGGTGTGGGTGAGCACTACCCTCTCTGACCTCCCATGCTCATCTTGCCATAATACATGTCCAATGGGTCATCCATTCCTTCCGCAGGCTGACCCCAAAGAGGTGATCGGGATGGTCACCAGGCACGTGACTCACTGTGGACTCAAAGCCTGGCCGGAGGCCCTGGCCCCACTCACCGCGCAGCTGCACCACTACAATGAGCAGCTTCTGGACTTAACACAGGCACAGCTCCTGCAGGGCCTGGGGAAGGGCGTGGACGTGCAGCGCTTCACCACTGATGACCAGTACAAGAGGGAGACCATCCTTGGGCTGGCAGAGTAAGGGCACCTTTGTGTCTCGAGGGGCTGGGTCCGAGATGCGCACAGACGGAGCTGTCAGAATGCTCGTCTTAGTCCTCTGATGACCCATGAGTGCTGCAGCTGTCCAGAGCTTGGCCCCTCCTCCTGGCCATAGAAGAGATGCATATGTCTTTCCAAACAGCAGTAGATGCTTGCGACTCAGCAAGTGCTGAGACTGCTGGTTGTAAAGTTCCCCAAGCCTTTGATTCCCCTGTGCCAGGATGACGACATGGTAGAGGAAGTAGGAGAGGGTCAGAGACAGGTGACATGATTACTGATGGACTTTTAAAAGTCAGATTGCTGAAAATCTCACTCTCCCAAGTACATGTCAATTAGGCATGGTGGTGAACGCCTGTAATCTCAGCTTCTGGGAAGGCTGAGGCAGGAGGATCTCGAGTTTGAGTGCTGGCAGTTTAATGTCTGAGTTGTGTATAAATTAGATCCCATTAACATAATATGCTAGGACCAGACGTGGTCTCTGCAGGTGCCTTTGCCTGCCCTGGGCTTCTGTAAGGAAGAGGAAGAGAGGCCACTACTCTTGGCACCTCTGTCAGAGGCCAGGAGTGGCTGTGCTTCGCCTATGGGCCTCCTCCCTTCAAGGGAGGTGCAGCCCCTGTGGGAGGATGGTGCATTTTGATGCTTTCTGAGCAGGTGTTGCCTTGGCTTTGAAAACTTAGTGTATGTTTGCTGTCTAGTTTTGATCAGTGAGAAGTGCCCCTGTCAGAAGGGGAGGCTGCGCGCCCACCTTCGTTGGTGCTGGTTTGCAACCTGGGATGTTGTGTTTCTCACACCACAAGTCTCTGAACGCTTAGCAGGGTCAAGGCCTCAGGCATACTCCAGAGACTTTATCTGTCACTCGTCCTCCTCGATGATGTTGAGATGGAATGTGGTTTCCCTGTTTTTAGCTGGGAGAGTAGGTGCTCAGGGATATGCAGTCAGTGGCCCAAGTTCTGTAGCTGGTAGCTTGCGTCTTTGAGCAGGCGCTGTCCTGAGTCAGAGCGTCACACCTCCTCAATGCCCTCTTCCTGCCCCTCAGGGCAGCACTGTGCCCGGCCTTGGGACTGAAGTGGAATCGCTCTCCACAGAGAGTGACTCTGCTCCGTCCATGGTGCTTTAAACTAACAGTGAGCCTGATGACAAGAAGAGTGGTCACCCATCTTCATTTACATCCTTGAGAAAGAAGCTGAGTTGTTGGGACAGCTGATAATTTCATACTGGCTTGGCCTTGTTTCCCACTAGAGATGCCTAGCCAGGACCATGCAGGGTGTGGGGAGATCCCAGGACCATGCAGGGGTGAGCAGAGATGTGCAGGGACACGCAGTCCCTGTCACTCACCCTCTTCTCCTGGAGGTTCCTGGTCGTATAGCCACTCAGTGCCTGGTTTGGCAGCTGTTGTACACTAGAAAAAAGAGCTTCATTATCTTTGTATTATACCAAAACACCTGTAATGTGACTCTAACTGTTCTGTATAAGTTTTTCTTCTCCCTTCTCCCTCTGGGTGACCTAATTGATATGTTAACCATTGCGGCCCACTACAAATAACAGATGTGGTGCTAAAATAAGGTAACAAGGGTTGTTAATTGCTGCTAGACTCTTCTGTTCTCTGCTGAGGAAAACAGGATCTTCCCCATTAGCCATATCCTGATCCACGCCCACGACCCCCTTACTTTATAGTGATATATACTTAAAGGTGGCAAATATAGAGGAACAAGACACACAGCTTTTACAGTCTCCAACTGCACTGTGTCGCTGGGCCCAGGATAAATCAGCGCTGCCTTTTTAAAATATGTTTTTCCCTCATTTTTTGAACTCAAGTTTGGGGGCTCATTCGTGGATTACAAGAACAGCTACCGGCAACGCTGCAGCAACTCTTTTGGAGGCTCTCAGAGCTTTGAGGAGCTGGGCTGGCCACGCAGCCAGGTGCTGATTCTCAGCCCGAGCACTTCTCTTTGGTTGGCTCTTGAGCCTCATGCCGAGTTCCCGCACCTTCTGAGAGGTCTTTGTGCAGAATGAAGGCGTTCAGGGAGTGGTGTCTGAGATCCTTAGTTACATTTTGCTGGGCCTGTTTTCCTTTAAAGTGTCTAGCTAGCATATGCTGTTTGAAGCATGTCCTAGAGGACAAATACATGCTTTTGAGAAATATATAATAGACTCTCCTCTACATTCTGTTGCGTACAAAACCACACTGCGGTCTTTGGATGGCTTGTTTAAAATGCCGCAGTGTTCCGCAGGTTGGCAGTGTGGCCAGTTCTGATCTGGATTTCTGTGTCTCAGGTAGACGAACTGTGTAACCTACGCTGTCCTCTCTGCTGCTTCCCTCACACTGTGTCCTGCAGCTGCCGTGGTTTCCTTGCTCTTTGTTGCCATTTTTAACAGCCAAGTTCTTTCCTTTGCGTGCCTGTCTTTCACTGTCTGCACCTCTTGGATGACACCGTTTCAGTGGCCAAGCAGGCAGCGTTGAAGAGTGTGTGACACTCTGGTTCCTTCCCAGCTGTGTCAAGGGGTAAACGCATCCACACAGCTGGGTGTGGGGGTGCAGATGCCAAAGGCAGGAGTGCTGAGGCAGGAGTGTCTCGAGTTTGAGCCCAGCCTGTAGAACTCAATGGCTTAGTGAGACCTTGTCGCAGGGTGCAGCCCAGCACAGCTCCAGACAGGCCTGGGGACAGAGCTTAGTGAGCAGGCCCTGGGAGAAGGTTGGTTGGGAGCCACCGGTGTGGACCAGATGCAGGTGAACGGCTCTCGCTACAGTGGGGAACGAGCTCTGAAACCCACTTCCTGCGAGGCGTCTTGAATCTGCACCCTCCAGTGCCCTCTGCCCACCAAGTCCTGTGTTTCTTTGCTTCCCTCCCCTGTGCCTGCCGGCTGTCCTGAAGAACGCTAGAGGAGAACGTGTATAGCCTTGTGCTCTTCCTGGCTCAGCGCTGCGGCATCTCCTGCTGGGAAGTGTTCATGACCCACCTGGAGTTTCTGTTCACCGATAGCGGGTGAGTACCTGCGGCCATGCCCTGTGTTGGGAAGAATCTGGAAGTACTCATCCAGCAGAATTTACAGTTTCCCTCCTCAGCTACAGTGATGTGTATCTTGGCACATTATCCTCTCCTTTACCCTTTCAGTACACTAGTGTACTCGCAGGCCTTTTTAACCTTTATTTTTCAGTAGCTCTAGTCTCACATTAGATAATTTGATCTGCTGTGTGTTTCACTGAAAGATTTTTTGCTGGGGTTCTGCTCCCATATTAGACACGACATGACGCGAGAGCCGCACTGTGGCTGTCTTGGAATGTGCAGTTTGCAGTGGGGGCAGATGGTGGTTATCGATGTCCTGACTCAGTGGGAAGTGAGAACTGAGTCCCCTGTGTGGGAGTCTGACAGTTAGGGCGCCACTGAGGTGCTCAGCAGTGATTTGAGAGTCCCTAGTCCTGCTGAATCCCCACCATCAGGTGTGAACAAGGTGGAAACAACCTGCCGGGGTGGGCGGAGGGGAGGCTGTGGTGTCTGCTTGATTAAGCCTGCAGTGGCAGCCTGTGAAAGGACAGTGTGAGACCAGAGGGTGTAGAGACACAAGGGTGATTTGAAAAAGGGGGTGAATGACTGCATTTTTAAAAGTTGGAAAAGGTACAATGCCACAGAGTCCCTTCGAAATTCTTCCCCTCACTTCAAACACACTCAGCCAGTGGTTCTTGCCACTTTCTGCAGCAGCTCGGAAAGTCCTCTCTCTGGGTGTCTTTAGGAGGTGTAATAAAAACTGCCAGCCTTAGTCATGGGATCTGGCACTATGCTACTTCCTGCTCCCTGAAAGCCAAAAGGACTTCGAAGGAGAAATGTATGTTTCTGAATCTCTTTGGGACACGGAGGTGGCCAGGACAGCCAGCTAAGAGGACTCTGGAGCTGCTGCAGGAAGTGGAGGGAGTATGCTCGGAGTGAGGAGAGGATTTTGTGGGGACTTGTGGTGCTGTGTCTTTCACTGTAACTAATTTTGAAAATGAAGCACACTCCATTTTTTGGTCATACCTTGCATGTGTGTGCATCTTGCCCTTTTCCATGAACTGCTTTGTGTACCTCAGGACTCGGCCAGTGGAGGTCATCCCTAGATGTCACTCAGAAGCTCTTTTTTTTGGGAAAGAGCTCCACCTACTGCTTTTCTTTATAAGTGGCCTGACTCAGGCACTTTGTTTCAGTAAAGTGAAGAGCACCACTGCAAGTTGATACCTCGCTGCTGAGTGAATTCAGTAGAGTTCCCTACACTCCAAGAGGAAGGGAGCCCTGCTCTAGGTAGATGATGTGCTGAGGCGTGGCAGATCTTCCCATCCTTCTCTTCCTGTCAAGACAGCAGGCTTCTCTGAAGGCCAGGCAGGGACCTGACCTCTACCTTCAGCCCCTCGTGGCTGCCGGGGAGAGTCATGTTCTCTTCTAGCCTTGGATTCAGTTGCAGGGCAGGCTCTCTGTTAAGAGGCTATTGCATGTGCTGTGAGTCTCTACAGTCAGTCCCAACTCTCTGGGAGTAACATTGTTTCAGTATTTCAGTGTTATGATGTTGTAAATTAAAACGGGAATACAGAATCAGGGAAGGTGCATGCAGAGTGAGAACGTTTCACACACATATGTGGGCATAGGTCTTGCTGATGTTAAAACCGAGCAGTGAGGGCTGGGGATTTAGCTCAGCAGTATAAGTGCCTGCCTGGTAAGTGCAGGGTCATGAGTTCAATCCCTGGTACCAAAAAAAAAAAAAACCCAAACCCAAAAAATAAAAAACTGAGCAGTTAGGGTGGAGGTTGAATCTCCCCTCTCCTCCACTCCCTGCCCTCCTGTTCCCTTCCTTTCTCCTGCCCCCTGCCCCTCCCTGCACAGAGTAACCCTTCCCGTCATCTAAGGTGAGAGTGAGTGAGGAAAACTGGATTTAAAGAATTGTTTTCTTCTGCAAATGCAAGTCCTTTGGATTCGTACTGTTCTTGAATCGCCTATTGGGGTGACTGGCAACTTGAAGCCATCACAGCTTTGTCAGGGATTAGGACAGTGATTCTAGCCTTGTGCACTGAGTACGCCTAGTGCTAGCTTCTCTCTGTAGTTAATCTCTGAAAGCAAATACGCATCATACTTATAAACTGTGTTACAGCTAAAACGGGTTCAGAAAAAAGTACTTAAACCGTTTTTAAGGGCACTCACTAATGTGATTAGTTTTCATGGTTTCTCTTCTGGCTACTTGTTCTGAGGGAAGATAGCAGCTTCTTTCTTGGAAATGATTAAAATGGACTATTGATCACCAGCATCTATTGTAACTTACTAAAAAGGGAGGTTGGGGTGTTTATCCCATGTCAGCAAAGGTATTTACAGTCTTGACAGGTCCTGAGATAAAATTGCACAAGAGGCAGCCTGCATTGTAGGCGCAGAAGGGCAGGGGCATGGACAGAGGAGGAAGTCATGTTGGTGGAGAGAGAATGGATTTAGAAGCCAATCAGACACAGATAGATAAACGGAGTCACCTGTTGCTAGTCAGCTGTTGCCCTGGTCACTAGGGTGTCAGGAATGAAATGTGACAGAGGCGCTCTTACAGATCATTGCCGTTAGCACAGAGCTGGTGCCCTGTGTGGAAGGAGCCGCCCTATCTTCACAGTGGGCTCGCTGTGGCTGCTTGCCCTGCAGGAGTGGAGGGGTGCTGTGGGATGTGGAGGAGCCAGCGTGCTCTTGACTGTGGGTGATGTGGAGGCTCAGGTGCAGGCAGGGCCCATGACTGCCTGTAGGGTACCACCTCTGTGCTCCCCAGTGATGCCCCAGCTTTAATTTCCTGGCGCCCTTTGTCAGGGAGAATCATCTTGCCAGGGAGACACAGTTTTACCTCTTTACCTCCCCACATTACTCTCAGGCCTCAGTTTGCAGGTGAGAGGAGCAGCAGGAAGTCAGTACACTGCACCGGCTCCTTCAGCGATGGCTTTGGCACCGGAGCAGGGCAGTATCTGGGCTTCCTACCCCAGCCAGCGGTGTGTCAGGGTTCCCGTGCAGGCTTGCTGCTTTCTGTCTCTGCACTTTGCCTCCCGTCATTTCTGTTCCTTTCCTCCCCGCCATGCCACACCCAGGTTCTGCCTTCACTGAGCCTTCTCTCTGAGCTGTCGCTTTCGTCGTTCCCACTCTGGCCTAGAATACAGGTTTGTGTCCTTTGTCAGCCTGCGCCATTGATTTGCACTGTTACTAATTGCAAGTATTTGTAACTGGACTGCAGTTTTCAAACCAGTGCTCTAAATCTTCATATCCTCTCCAGAGCAGGCACGGTGAGGATAGAGGACACCTGGTTCTTTTGCTTATCTGCCCAGCTTTGTGACATTCACAGGACACAACTGAAAGCCTCCTTCGTCCCCCTACCCTGAGTCTTGGCGTCAGAAACTGGAAACACAGAGGTGTCGTGTGTTCTGTGTCGCTGTCGGCTGCGCTCACTGGTCTATTGAGGGAGGCAGTCGATGATCAGCAGTGGAAATGCAGGTGCCATACACAGGCAGGCGTGCGGGGGAGTTTTTGTAGACACAGGCCATATTTATATAAATAAGTGTTGAAAGTATGTCTTAACAGAAAAAGATTTTTCTTAAAGTGAAAGTAAAAAGACCATTTTTAACAGCTCCCTGATATTTTGGCTGTAGTTGGCCCTTTTATCCTGAGAATTATTACAATCATAACAATTTTAAAACACAATTTATATTAACTTTGAAAACATGCCTTTTCACACTTTCTAAAAATAGTAACCCCTGGAAACAAAGTGTCTGTCTTACCTCACAGGTGCTGCTTTTACACCACAGAAAGCCTGAGGTTAAACAGAGGGCTCCAGAAGGGAGAGAAAGAAAAAAGAATCAAGTTCTGTCCTGTACAGATGCGGATTCTCTATAATGAATGTGATCATTATATGTACCTAAAACGAACTGGATAAAATCACTGTCTTTGAAAAATAAATAAACCGTAGGGAGCCTGACCTTGGTTGCCCCTGCGCTTCCTGCAGCTCTGCCAGAAGCACTGCTGTGGATCCCAGGGTCGCTGGCGGAGGCTGGGGAGCTCACTGTGTCTGGGAGAAACACAAAGGGGACTCTCGCTCCTCTGCTCGCTCTGAAAACCCCAGCAGATGGATCGGCCAACCAGAACGCTGCATTTCTTTTTGCCTCTTCTTACACTACAGAGACCTTCAGTTACATGAAAATACCCAAGAGAGAGCTTTCATTTGGGCAGCACTGGTGTAGGCGATTCAGGTGGAAGTAGTTGCTTACCTTTCCTGTTTGAGTTGAACATGGTAATCAGAGTCTACGGATTATCAATCAAGACTCTCGGCTATTAAATTTATGCCTAAAAGTTGGCATCTTCTGCCCTTCCTGTGTCCCAAGCTCGGGGAGAACAAGGTCGGCATGCAGTTCTTCTCAGGGAGGCGAGGATTTATTAAAAGAACTACAGAAAAACCTTAGATAAGGGAAGTGACTGTGCACAGCTGATGGGAAGCTCAGGAACATTGTGTGGATGAAGCCTGAGTGCAAATCAGAGGCTCTTTCCTTCAGTGACTTGACAAATGCTGAAGTCTCCCCACTGCATTACATCCTCCCTCAGAACAGAAATACACAGCTGGAAACAAACCTGAGGGCTCACAATCTAGGGAGGCAGAAAACTCCTCATCACACAGTCATATGACCATCGTAAGTCTACAGTCCCCACACACTGGAGGCAGAGATGGCAGGATCAACATGAGTTTGAGGCCAGCCTGGTCCCCTACTGAGTTTCAGGTCAGCCTTGACTCCATGGTGACACCCTGTCTCAAAAAATGCTTTTGTTGGTTTATCATGCAAAAAAGCCCAAATGTGCAATGGGAAAATGGTGAAACAAAGCATGACAAAGTCTCATGATTTAATATACAGCTGTTGGAGTTGTTTCTAATAGTTGGGAAAGGATTACAGTAACCCTGGGAGTTTCACAATGGGATGTGAGGTTCAGAGGGTCCCCCCGTGTATAAAGCCCCTGCTCCT